TATCGACGGAGAAAGGTTGGAAAACTTTAACCTTCGATATCTCCTAAACGGTTAGAGATACAGGATTCGGACAGGTACCAAATTAAAGCCCTTTCAAAACCCTACATTTTGCACTACATGAACGACTCTCTACTCCCAGTAGAAGCGGAGATATCGACGGATGAAGACTGGATATCGACGGAGAAAGGTTGGAAAACTTTAACCTTCGATATCTCCTAAACGGTTAGAGATACAGGCTTCGGACAGGTACCAAATTAAAGCCCTTTCAAAACCCTACATTTTGCACTACATGGACGACTCTCTACTCCCAGTAGAAGCGGAGATATCGACGGAGAAAGGTTGGAAAACTTTAACCTTCGATATCTCCTAAACGGTTAGAGATACAGGCTTCGGACAGGTACCAAATTAAAGCTCTTTCAAAACCCTACATTTTGGACTACATGAACGACTCTCTACTCCCAGTAGAAGCGGAGATATCGACGGATGAAGACTGGATATCGACGGAGAAAGGTTGGAAAACTTTAACCTTCGATATCTCCTAAACGGTTAGAGATACAGGCTTCGGACAGGTACCAAATTAAAGCCCTTTCAAAACCCTACATTTTGCACTACATGGACGACTCTCTACTCACAGTAGAAGCTGAGATATCGACGGAGAAAGGTTGGAAAACTTTAACCTTCGATATCTCCTATACGGTTAGAGATACAGGCTTCGGACAGGTTCCAAATTAAAGCCCTTTCAAAACCCTACATTTTGGACTACATGTACGACTCTCTACTCCCAGTAGAAGCGGAGATATCGACGGATGAAGACTGGATATCGACGGAGGAAGGTTGGAAAACTTTAACCTTCGATATCTCCTAAACGGTTAGAGATACAGGCTTCGGACAGGTACCAAATTAAAGCCCTTTCAAAACCCTAAATTTTGCACTACATGGACGACTCTCTACTCCCAGTAGAAGCTGAGATATCGACGGAGAAAGGTTGGAAAACTTTAACCTTCGATATCTCCTAAACGGTTAGAGATACAGGCTTCGGACAGGTTCCAAATTAAAGCCCTTTCAAAACCCTACATTTTGGACTACATGTACGACTCTCTACTCCCAGTAGAAGCGGAGATATCGACGGATGAAGACTGGATATCGACGGAGAAAGGTTGGAAATCTTTAACCTTCGATATCTCCTAAACGGTTAGAGATACAGGCTTCGGACAGGTACCAAATTAAAGCCCTTTCAAAACCCTACATTTTGGACTACATGGACGACTCTCTACTCCCAGTAGAAGCGGAGATATCGACGGATGAAGACTGGATATCGACGGAGAAAGGTTGGAAAACTTTAACCTTCGATATCTCCTAAACGGTTAGAGATACAGGCTTCGGACGGATACCAAATTAAAGCCCTTTCAAAACCCTACATTTTGCACTACATGGACGACTCTCTACTCCCAGTAGAAGCTGAGATATCGACGGAGAAAGGTTGGAAAACTTTAACCTTCGATATCTCCTAAACGGTTAGAGATACAGGCTTCGGACAGGTATCAAATTAAAGCCCTTTCAAAACCCTACATTTTGGACTACATGGACGACTCTCTACTCCCAGTAGAAGCGGAGATATCGACGGATGAAGACTGGATATCGACGGAGAAAGGTTGGAAAACTTTAACCTTCGATATCTCCTAAACGGTTAGAGATACAGGCTTCGGACAGGTACCAAATTAAAGCCCTTTCAAAACCCTACATTTTGGACTACATGGACGACTCTCTACTCCCAGTAGAAGCGGAGATATCGACGGATGAAGACTGGATATCGACGGAGAAATGTTGGAAATCTTTAACCTTCGATATCTCCTAAACTGTTAGAGATACAGGCTTCGGACAGGTATCAAATTAAAGCCCTTTCAAAACCCTACATTTTGGACTACATGGACGACCCTCTACTCCCAGTAGAAGTGGAGATATCGACGGATGAAGGCTGGATATCGACGGAGAAAGGTTGGAAAACTTTAACCTTCGATATCTCCTAAACGGTTAGAGATACAGGCTTCGGACGGGTATCAAATTAAAGCCCTTTCAAAACCCTACATTTTGCACTACATGGACGACTCTCTACTCCCAGTAGAAGCGGAGATATCGACGGAGAAAGGTTGGAAAACTTTAACCTTCGATATCTCCTAAACGGTTAGAGATACAAACTTCGGACAGGTACCAAATTAAAGCCCTTTCAAAACCCTACATTTTGGACTACATGGACGACTCTCTACTCCCAGTAGAAGCGGAGATATCGACGGATGAAGACTGGATATCGACGGAGAAAGGTTGGAAATCTTTAACCTTCGATATCTCCTAAACGGTTAGAGATACAGGCTTCGGACAGGTACCAAATTAAAGCCCTTTCAAAACCCTACATTTTGGACTACATGGACGACTCTCTACTCCCAGTAGAAGCGGAGATATCGACGGAGAAAGGTTGGAAAACTTTAACCTTCAATATCTCCTAAACGGTTAGAGATACAGGCTTCGGACAGGTACCAAATTAAAGCCCTTTCAAAACCATACATTTTGGACTACATGTACGACTCTCTACTCCCAGTAGAAGCGGAGATATCGACGGATGAAGACTGGATATCGACGGAGAAAGGTTGGAAAACTTTAACCTTCGATATCTCCTAAACGGTTAGAGATACAGGCTTCGGACGGATACCAAATTAAAGCCCTTTCAAAACCCTACATTTTGCACTACATGGACGACTCTCTACTCCCAGTAGAAGCGGAGATATCGACGGAGAAAGGTTGGAAAACTTTAACCTTCGATATCTCCTAAACGGTTAGAGATACAGGCTTCGGACAGGTACCAAATTAAAGCCCTTTCAAAACCCTACATTTTGGACTACATGAACGACTCTCTACTCCCAGTAGAAGCGGAGATATCGACGGATGAAGACTGGATATCGACGGAGAAAGGTTGGAAAACTTTAACCTTCGATATCTCCTAAACGGTTAGATATACAGGCTTCGGACAGGTACCAAATTAAAGCCCTTTCAAAACCCTACATTTTGCACTACATGGACGACTCTCTACTCCCAGTAGAAGCTGAGATATCGACGGAGAAAGGTTGGAAAACTTTAACCTTCGATATCTCCTAAACGGTTAGAGATACAGGCTTCGGACAGGTACCAAATTAAAGCCCTTTCAAAACCCTACATTTTGGACTACATGTACGACTCTCTACTCCCAGTAGAAGCGGAGATATCGACGGATGAAGACTGGATATCGACGGAGAAAGGTTGGAAAACTTTAACCTTCGATATCTCCTAAACGGTTAGAGATACAGGCTTCGGACAGGTACCAAATTAAAGCCCTTTCAAAACCCTACATTTTGCACTACATGAACGACTCTCTACTCCCGGTAGAAGCGGAGATATCGACGGATGAAGACTGGATATCGACGGAGAAAGGTTGGAAAACTTTAACCTTCGATATCTCCTAAACGGTTAGAGATACAGGCTTCGGACAGGTACCAAATTAAAGCCCTTTCAAAACCCTACATTTTGCACTACATGGACGACTCTCTACTCCCAGTAGAAGCTGAGATATCGACGGAGAAAGGTTGGAAAACTTTAACCTTCGATATCTCCTAAACGGTTAGAGTTACAGGCTTCGGACAGGTTCCAAATTCAAGCCCTTTCAAAACCATACATTTTGGACTACATGTACGACTCTCTACTCCCAGTAGAAGCGGAGATATCGACGAATGAAGACTGGATATCGACGGAGAAAGGTTGGAAAACTTTAACCTTCGATATCTCCTAAACGGTTAGAGATACAGGCTTCGGACGGATACCAAATTAAAGCCCTTTCAAAACCCTACATTTTGCACTACATGGACGACTCTCTACTTCCAGTAGAAGCGGAGATATCGACGGAGAAATGTTGGAAAACTTTAACCTTCGATATCTCCTAAACGGTTAGAGATACAGTCTTCGGACAGGTACCAAATTAAAGCCCTTTCAAAACCCTACATTTTGGACTACATGGACGACTCTCTACTCCCAGTAGAAGCGGAGATATCGACGGATGAAGGCTGGATATCGATGGAGAAAGGCTGGAAAACTTTAACCTTCGATATCTCCTAAACGGTTAGAGATACAGGCTTCGGACTGGTACCAAATTAAAGCCCTTTCAAAACCCTACATTTTGGACTATATGGACTACTCTACTCCCAGTAGAAGCGGAGATATCGACGGATGAAGGCTGGATATCGATAGAGAAAGGCTGGAAAACTTTAACCTTCGATATTTCCTAAACGGTTAGAGACACAGGCCTGGTTCTGGCTCCAAAATAAGGTCCTCTCAAAACCCTACATTTTCCCGTAAATGACGACTTTCTACTCCCAGTAGAAAGGGAGATATCAATGGAGAAATGTTGGAAAACTTTAATCTGTTGCGTATGACACGAGTGTGTGTGTGTGTGTGTGTGTGTGTGTGTGTGTGTGTGTGTGTGTATGCGTGTGTGCGTGAGCGGGTGTGGGTGTGTGTGTGTGAGGCTGCGCGTATATGCACACGTACGTCACGCACACTTTCAATGCAACGCATGCACACGGACACAACTGCGCTAAAAAACGCCTGCCGGAGTATAAATAAATACTAACGTAACGCTGAAATATTTTGTAAAAATAATTTTGGGTATACACAAGATATTATCTTATTATCATATATTTATATATCGATATAAATCGTATATAATCTTCATAATATTAATCATATACAATCTCAATTCTTTTTTTTTTGTGCATGTTAACATGTTAATTCATGTTACAAATGCATAACAATGCGCGAGACCGTGCCTGTCAAGTACGCTGTTATGGTTGTAGCACGGACATAAACCGCCTGAAAGTGGATGTAGCACGGACAGCCACCAGATGTAGGTTTTACCGTCGAGACCTAAAAGTGGATGTAGCATCGTAGTTCCCCTCTCAAAATGGATGCAGATAGCGCCCATTCCCAGTGCGAAAAATCGGTGTTGCCGAAAACGCCGTGTTGGCTGCTCTTAGCTTGCTCTCTGGTATTATGAAACAGTTACATAGTGGAGTGAGAAATAATAATGTTAATTATAACGTAACTGTTACTTAGTATCGACTGGACAACATAATCTGGGATAAGGCACTCGCGCAAGAAACGCGGGAAAACTATGCAGGAAGACAGCTGATCGGATAGCGCGGGCCCCTCCATGGACCCTGCGTTGCGCTTAATTGTCGTCATTGGCATATGCTTTCAAGTGCGGTCCGGCAACCGCTACAAATGCTTTGAAGCGTTTCTCTTTCTCGTTCTATTTCTCGGATGCAAACGAAGAAAGAGAGAGAAGTAAAAACTTCGAAGCATTTGTAGCGGTTGATGGACCGCACCCTTCGTAGAGCTACGTCTCACGCATGCGCTGTAGCGTCGCAATATATCGCATCTACCAACTATGGCCAGGCCGCCCTCCACGCAGCATCAGATCAACGACTCCAACAGCATGCAAGCCGCGGCAACACGACTGAACGTCGCTACCCACACATTTCCGAACAGCAGTCAAAATGCAGTAACGTGCGATCAACCGGAAAGTTAGTCCATTTGGCAAAATGGCACATCTTATTTTTCTCATTTATACTTTTCTACTGATTATTTGAGTTCTAGTGCATTAACTTCCACAAAGAATGTATCAATTTTTTAAAAATACATAAGTATCTTTTTTCAGGTGATAATGGAGTCACAAATAATGGGACTAAACTTACATTAAACAAGAATGATGAACAAGCTAATAATCAAACTGATGCTGGAATTTTTAATTTGGAGGAATATATAAAGAAACTGAAACAAGAGCGAAAAGACTGGCAACAAGAGTATAAAAACCGCAAGATTCAACGAAAAAACTTGGCTAAGGAGAAAACAATTATGGAGAGTCAAGGCCAACTACTTGACATAAATATATTAACAGAATCTGAAAGAGCTTTTATCACAGCACGTCCTGATTATGAGTATATTTGCAAGAATGGTCAAAAATTATCAGATGTAGCATTGAAGATATCCATACTTAGTCGATTAGTGCATAAGTTAAATCAAAGATTTATGGAGAATATGGAAAATAATATGTCCAGAGCTGTCAAAGATATTATAAAAATGTCAGAAGATTGAGATAGATCAGACATATTTTAAGTATTATTCATTATTATATTATTTGAGTAGTTACAATTTTATCGGTAATATGGGAGCTTTTCTTAGTACAAATATAAATAACATTTAAATTAATTAAATATGAGACTACGCACTAAGATTGATTGTACAATACTTATTGGTGTGATGATCGCGTTCATGGTACATCCATGATTCCATTGAAGATGAAATATAATAAATACAAAATAATTTACCAATGTTATACAGTATAATAGTAACTTTGCAGTTGTACGGATAGTCATCATCTAAACACGTACTGTCTGTCACTTTTAAGCCACATTAACAAAAGTCAGAATATTAATATTTGATCGTACAAAGATATTTCCTTTCCTTACAATTATCTATTGTATAACGTTCAATGCCTCAAATAATCTAAGATTGCACAGAACAACCAATAGAGCTGTCATCTGTGTAAGTGAAAGCTCTTTCTCCTCGCAGCCTTCCTTTCCTTTTGTGCAAGATATTCCTTTCTGGATGCGCTACTGTGTAACTCCAGAATATGATTGATCTTCCGCACAATCTCCTCGGCCGTCACGGAGTCCGTCTCGAAATCGTGATTTTTGAACGATGCAGATTGATGAAGCGAATGACTTTGACCTGCAGCACCATTAAATGGTATATTACCGTAATCAAAATTATTAGACATTTGATTTGTTTATATCAAACATTAAGAACTTATGACAAACGATCTTCCATTAAATCTTCCAAAAGACATGTAAATTTCTAATTTATTGCAGAAAACATATTTATGAAAGGAAAGTTGCCTCACCTAGAAAACTATCCGGAGCGTTCGACTGCGGGGTGTAAACTAGGGTGAACATGGTTTTCGATCCCTTAGTCTCTGTTACTTCACACCAAGCGATATTATCTATGTGGTAGCTGACCGCACGCTGCCGGTTCCAAAACCTGGCCGCGCCTTTACCCGTTATCACCGGGTCTATCTCTATCTTCTCACCCGATATACCCAGGTGAATTTCGGTTTTTGCTCGCATCTTGTTAATTATATGTACCCTGTGTGATTTTACAGAGGCATATTTATACGATCGAAACACGCGTTATCTCAACAATTCGAAAAACTTGCTTGAAATGTCTCGCTTAAGACATCTTTATGGTATTCAGCTATTAAGAAACCACACCTATATGATTGATATAACGGTGCTTCCATCGCAGTAGTATGACCTTCCATCTTCGCCAAATCGTTCGCGACCTCCTCTTGTTCCTTATCTTTACCCTCAAAGTCCTCCTCGTCCTTTTTTTCCACGCAACTAACCGCGTTATGCCTCGCCAAGTCGCTCGGTTTCATCTCGATCAAACCCAACGTCGTGAACTCGAACTTTGAAATTGTCTCGCGTAAATCTAAACAAGGAAAGGCCCAGTCCACTTCGCCGTCGTCCTCAGTGATGTAGAGACCGTAACGTGAGATATCCTCCCTGAAAGTAATAGCCGACCGAGCTTTTACCGTAAATAAATCCGCGAGCGTACTTAGCAGCGCGAGGTCGAGCTAGTTACAAACTTCAAATTATGATCAGGATGTTCACTTGCATATTTGTAGCAAATTAGTCCAATGAAGTCTAGCACACGTGCCGTCGCCGTGACGACCACTTGTAGCGGATACGTCCTCTCTTCCTTGGGTAGCATGCACATGAATATTCTGTATTTCCTTACGGGTGTACCAACCTGTGCCTGCAACGAGTATTTCTAAATGTACTTTTGCTATAAAAGAAACTTATTCTTTCAGACTATCCCTGTTCTTAAGAGATGAAGGTTGTATATGCTGTACAATTTTTTTACAACTTGGTATAATGTTATGTACATTGCCATCAAACTTGGCATATTCCTTGAATGGATTTTGAGGTAAATTTGGACATTTTTCAAGCTGTTCCGACAGAAGAGAGTGCCCTCTTTTCAGTGATGCGCTTTTACGAAAATCTTTCCTCTGAAATAGCTCTGATTGATCTGTAGGTGTGACAACATTAGGATTGTGCTCCCATTTAACATGTTTAACTTCAGCAGCCTTCTTCCTTTCTATATCCATCTTCTCCAGTCTCTGTGCAGTGTTGGATCTCTGTCTGTGAGTGAATTCCATATCTAGAAGAATGTTACAAGTGAACGGATTTACAATTTTAGGAATTCTACTTAAAAGTAATTACTTAAATTTACCTGAAATTATATATACATATATTCAGACAAATTGTGATACTAACAAAATTATCTTAGGTAGATCATTCGGAACAAAAGCATAACTGATTTGATTTATGAGTACTGTTATATGATATAGAAGTGTCTCACATACCCATTTGTATATCATAAGATTCTGCCAGTACATCTAAGTCTTCATCATCGCTCTCCTCCCTTCCAGGGTAACATTGCAACATTCCGTTTTCTTTCATCTGCTTTGGAATATCTTCTCCCAGCATTACCATCTCACACATGCCTTTGAAGCAAGAGTAACAGAAGGTAGTAATAAAATTTATCTAAGAGAATTTAATCACTTTATATAAATTTATATTAGGTTTACATTTTTTGTCAGATATATTACAGTGTAAGCTTTGTAAGCATGTAATATACATGTGTTTTTTTATCAACATTATCAAAAATATTTACTAAGTTACTCCAAGGCGGAGCAACGTTTGACACTTAATTTTGACATTTCTAACCTAGGTTTATCCGATGCACACCTGTGTCATCCGTAGCGAGAAAACTATCTCTGATGTGTGACAGGAGCCAGTGTTGATTATCGTAAAGGGCCATTTTCCTTTTTTAATTGATCAAGATCTGTCGGATGTACTAGATAAATCCAACCAAGTCAATAACGTAACACACGATATAGCGTGTCGTTCACAACTGATGGGTCTTTTTTACAAACCGGAGGATCGATTTACGCGCTACTACTCGCCGTGCTTCTCAATGAACGTCGTAAAGCTTGCTACGGCCGCCGGTCGATGGCATCTGTCTACGCTACGATTCAGCTTATCAATCGACAGTAATGGAGGAGATTTTCGCGCGGAATTCTACTTGCTGTTACGGAGGATATTTTCAAGTAAAAACGATAAATCGACGCATTTCTTAAGTTATACGGCGCAATAATGAGTTAACGTGATGTTCAATTTTTCTATTTATTTGCAATACATTACAATAATACATCTCAACGCATCGCGTTGGCATTTAATTACTACATAGCGTGAGACTTTTACAAATTGACAGTTCATGCTTCGTTCGATTATTCATTAATGTTTTATCAGACAGAAATTGATCTTATAATTATACACGTCATATGTCTGTTTATCATCGATTGTCAAATTGTCAGAGCGGTCTTTCCGATTGGAATTCGGATGACCGCGACGCGTTTAAAGACCGTTCTCGGTCTTTATGTTCCGGGGACTTTCTGCACTGACGGCAGCGACGGCTGCATTCACAACCGGGGGGTGGTTTTCCAGAATGGCGCCCCAGATCGCCACGGCCACCCCGCCGCGGGCCCCCTCCGTAGCGTCAGTATTTTTCTTAAAATTATGCACTGAATAGCGGTTGTAGAGGCCCCAGATGCTGTTCATCAGTTTGCTGTTATACTTCAATGGCGTCAGCTCCCAACCTGCACATTCAATAAACCCTCTGTTAAAGTGAATTTAAAACGATGTAAGTGAAGATGCTAATGAATTATTATTATAGTTGCTTCCTCTTTATAATATTGTAATTTGCTCTTCTGAATATATGTTAATTGAATAGGAAATACCTTCTAAAGGAGGTCTTGAATTGAATACATTCTCCTTGCCGATCTTCTCTTTTCCTTCTATCGTTGACATTGATATAGCTCGTTCCTCGTTATAACGAACTTTGAATGCTGCAAAAGCACCTTGCGGAATAGCAGCCATTTTTCCACAGTCTAAAAGAATATTTAATTATTTTTAACTCATATAGAAACAGATGAATAAACGTAATAAAATGTGTTATCTCACACGTTACAACGAGTGAGTTTGATGAACATTTTTGTATAAATTCATATATTATAATTTTGTATATTTATATATTGATAAACGCATAATAAGTAGCACAGGATGTCCCAAAATTATTTCAAACAAATGTACAATGTCCTGATGGACATATCCAAAATAATCTCACGATATCTTATGCTATTTATACATTTATATACTGCAGAATAATCGCAGTACACCTTGCATGTTGTTAAAAAAATTTAACACAATATAAAAATAATATTTAAAAAAATCTCTATTTATTTTATCAATTCACAAGAAATAAGTCTATATTAGACTTAATTACTTGAAGCAGAATTGTGCAACATTTTCATGTGCAACTGTGATATATTGTATGTCGATGAGTTAAAGTCTTTGATAGCTATTTATATACATCTCGCTCGTATCGTACATTTACTTTTTGCTTCATTAATAACTGTCGATACTCGTTATCTATAGTAACCGTGGAAACTGCGTGTTAATTATTGTCACCGTGTGATGAGAGTTTTTCCATCTTGTACTCAGTATTAACAAATGCATCAGGTGTCTGCGATTTTTCACATTCTCATTATATTATATCACTTCATATCGATCTATCGAAGAGAATAAACATTGTTTCAGGCTATTTTTTTCTGCGTTTTCTTTCAGAAACTAACCGATGCAATTCTCGAAGAACAACTCAATTATTTGTCTTCTGATAAATCCTCTTTGCGATCCCAGGCTTGCTTTCACCGTGCTCCTTCTGTCTCGCCCCGCTCGTCGAGTTTGTGTCTTCGGGATCGTCTCAAGCCTCATGCAGCCGTCAACAGTAATGGTCTCGGTAAAAATCATCAACCAGTAGATTTGGCCTTGTCGTCAACTCACGAGAGATCGACTTTTACGCGTCGATTTTTCGCGTGGTCACGTGTGTAATATATTTGATGCGTCTCCTCGATTCCAAAATCGTGCGAGTATGCCAGAATGATACTGATGTCTGGTGTAACAGCTGGTCTCATTTATAAGCTCGCATTAAGTCGATGAAAAGAGGAGGAAGGAAAATAATGCAACAAGACGGAGATGTCAGACGGAGACAGATACTTTTATCTCTACTGTGTTCTCAATGCGACATAATAAGAACGACCTATTAGCGGCCTTCGAGATCTTCGCTGACGTTATCCGACCACCGCGGCGTATCCTTACCAGCCTTATCATCTTTGGACCCGAGAAGACACCGATACATTTCTATCTTCTGCGTAGCTTCGTCTATCAGTTCAGGCTCGTAGTTAAACTCGTCTGGCATAACAATGTGAAATTATGAAACGCAATGGTAAAATGTATTTATAAAAATAAATGCGTCTAAATGACATCTAATCTTTCCGATTTATCGTTCTAATAATTGAAACTTTCTTCAAGTATATTTTAGAAGACTGTTGAATTTCTACATTGTTTGAGAAAAAGGATATAACTGGAGATTTTTACGAAGAAAAACACATGTAAAAAACTTTCAGCAACAGACAGGTAAAAGAAAATAAGAAAATTTGGAATCAATTGTGATTAGCTGCAACTATAACAATTGGATTTGTATTGGTTGTTAATTATATTAACTTTCATTGCTACAAGTATACACAGATTACAGAGTATACTACAGAGAAAATAGATTATACAAAGATTAACAGAGAATACAGATTATAATATCTTTGTGTACTTCAGATACACTTATATGACAGCACATTTCTATTTATAAATCTTTAAACTTCGTTTTTTTGTCTCGATGTCGTTAAAAAAGTGATAAGTAGCAAACTGCTTGAAAATGAGTTGGCATTTTTTGTTCTTTAGAAAAGTCATTATCAGACTTTGTTTTATCAAACTTATTGCTTGTTTTATCAAGTTTTATTTCATTTTCTTTACTTTCTGATTAAAAGTCAGATCTTATGATCACTAGACATTTGGTTCAAGAAATCTCTTATATATTTATGCATATTTCTCAAGGTTATTACATAAATATCAAATGAAATGTAAAATAAAACTAATTATTATAATTATAAATTATTAAATTATGACATCAAAAATGTACTAAATTATATTGAATTATTTTCTTGCGATCCAGTAAATACGCAGAATGCCACCAGAGACTTCGAAGTTGTTTTTCGCTGCTTTTGTTGTCATTATTCATTAGTCTGTAGCACTATGCAAGACCACAAGCAGAGATTTCTTGCTAAGGAGAAAGTCATTATCGCAATAAACATAATTATCTAAACGGAAACTCTGAGAATTGGTGGCGATATTATCAATAGCTGGGAACGCATTCAATATTCAATCGCTGATCTCGGTAGTTTGTCCATCGTAAAATCTTATTCTCCTTCTCACAATATACTTAACGATTTCTTCAGCAGCTATCATAAATAGGAAAATTGCATGAACAACGTATATATGAAGGAAACTATGCAAAATGTTGAACTTATTTTAACCCGTTAATCGGTTGGGCATTTATCGTGCTTAAAGTTTAAAATTGAACGAACCACTTGGTAAATATTTTCATGATATGTTTCGTCAGTTAATTATTGACAGGAGAAATCCGGCAATTGGGATATATAACGAATCACAAAGTTTCGCGTGAGTGCAAAGTGATGGCCTGTGCGCCGATAATTGTTCGTTTAAGTTTTATAATTCTTGTCCTCCGCAAAATTGTTTTCGTGTGTGAAAGATTTTAGAGAACGAGTCGCGACGCTGCGAAGGCAAACAAATTTATCTCTAAAGATGTGAGAAGTTTCAGATAATTTCTACACTTAAATTCGGCAATTGTGCAGTCAAATTAATACATTTATTTACTAAGAAACAGCCCGACTTTCTCATTGGATTCTCGCACATATATTTTTTTCTCTCGAGGTTATCTCAAAGTTTCCGATGTGATCTTTAATGAATTATACGGTGGATCTCTCTCTCTCTCTCTCTCTCTCTCTCTCTCTCTCTCTCTCTCTCTCTCTCTCTCTCCCCCCCCCCCCTCCTCCCTCTCTCATTATTGGTGATAATAGCATAGTATTATTTGTTCAATCTGATTATATAAGATTAAATCATGTAATATTATGTAATTGTGTGAAATTTAGGAATCGTACTATATATCGAGAATATTAACTTGCAAATTTCGCGACTTCGCCGTCGACTATATTCAGACTAGCAGGTTTTTCAAGCAAAATATTAAACCCAAATTTCATGTTAAAAATATATACCTGTGTGCAATTCAAATTATAAATAATATCGATAATCTCATTTTATGAAAGAACTCGCAAATGTTTCGTCATTCTCAATAAGACAACAGTCTAAGCGATCTTTTTATGAATAATTATCTTTTCCAACGAACGACATGCCAACTTCCAAGAACTAAGGTTTATGTCTATATTGTTTAATCATCGAGTTTAAATTCGCTTTATATACTCGCTTTTATATTCGCTTTATACTTGATAACTTAAAATATTACCACTCAAAAAGATAGGAATTAAATACAAAACATATTCTGTATTTGTTAATCTTATTACTTTTTGTAATTAATAATAGATATATTTCTCTCTTTATATATATATATATATATATATATATCAAATATATATGTCAAAGTTGGTCCGGCTTTATTCAAGTCAGAGAAATAACATGTGGTTCTTATCAATTATAAAGATTTGTACATATAAACAGAGATTGTATTGAATACGATAACATATAATCTAATGATTAAGGAAGGAATGAATAAACAAAACATAAGCACGTAATCAGTTTTTCTCATAGCCGTGTGACCATCTCGGTTTTCTCTTTTCTAGAAAACTTCGTATGCCTTCTTGCGCGTCTCTCATTTTCAAATTGTTCACCATTTTTTCGGTGCCTCGGAGATACGCCGTCGATATGTCAAGATCTATTTGCTCGTACAAGAACATCTTACCAATGTGTACAACTGAGCGACTTTTCATATTAATCGCGTCTGTAATTCGACGGATTTCTTCGTCTGGAATTAAAATCACAAATTTACTAATTTGTCTAAACACTAAATTAATTGATGTTGCGCGCGTCCAATATCAATTGAAATTGAATTATATTAATTGAATCTCCTTGTGAAACATTTTATCATACGATAAACATGATATCTTTCTCAATTTTTGTGGTACTGTCAAAGAAAAAAAAGTTCATTTCTCCGCAGTTAATTTATGTTTACATGACTTTATTTTTTCTAATTTCTCAAATATCTTGTACCATAATGTTTCAGGGTGACTCACCGAGTTTATCGTTTGACACGACCTTGCTAACGAGACCACATTCGTAGGCTTCTCTACCGGAAATAGGGAACCCCGTGAAGAGCATGTACGACGCATTTTTCCTCGGCACGTTGCGTACTAACGGTATGCCCGGTGTCGAGCAAAATATTCCGAGATTCGCCCTAAAGAAGGTATTACGAATGAATATTAGTGTTATCACGCTCAGCTGAGCTCGTAAGGTAAGCACAAAGTAATAAATAAATTGACCACATAACAAATAACGAGGTGGTCTTCGCTCGATTTACCCTGGAGTAGAAAACGTGCTTCTCTCTGTGCACACAGCAACATCACACGCTGCGACCAATTGACAACCGGCTGCAGCTGCCAAACCGTCCACTGCTGCGATCACTGGCACTTGACTCTGGCTAATAGCTCGCATCAATTCCGAACAAGTGTCGAAGATTTCTTTGTGCGACTTGTCGCTGGTAGCTGTCTGAACAATATGAGTTATTTTTTCTTTCTTTTTCGACAGAACAATTTTTTATATAGAAGAGTTCCTACGGAAGTGAAACCAGGACAAGATCACCTAATCTCGTCTACGAACCAGTTCCCTTAAATTGTGTCCTGCGGAGAATACTTTTCCCGGCACGGACGTCAGCACGATCGACCGAAGATCTTGATTGTCCTCGTCTCTCTTGATTTCGCTCGTCAGCGTCTTCAACATCTCCAACGATAGAGAGTTGAGCGAGGCAGAGTCGCTTAATTGTATAGTTCTGACCTAGAATAGGACGAAGTCAATAACCATTAAGAAAGTAAGTTAGTAAAATGATATTACCGTTGTAAAATAATTACTGATACAGATATAAGTTTATAGTCAGATTATATCCTTAATGATTATTAATAAGTCTATTATTTTCAAGGTTGTAAAATAGAAAAAGTTAAAGTTGATGTTTCGGGACTAAAAGAAATAACATCGTTTCTAAAATTTTGATATCTGTGGAAGAATGTAAATATTCTCACCCCATCGTTTTGTGTTGTGTTTACGTATTTCTTTTCAACAGGTGACATCTCGCTAGTTGATAGTGCCCTCGCGATATATCTACTTCCTATCTACAACATCAAATGATATTGATTCAATAAATAAAGTTGGAAAATTTCAGCATACATGTGCACGCTATTTAAAATGTTCCCGCGCTTCTCTTGCGGTACGTCACGAGTGCTTGAGCCAATCAACATACCCTTATTTTCTGAATAAAATAAAAGTACAATAGTTTTGTGATGTATACAACATGCTACATAATTGTTATATCGTTGTACAGGTGTCATATAATCATTTGCAGTTTGCACAGATTAAGAATGTGATATATAAAGATCAAATACCTGAGAGACAGCTGAACCATTTTGTATCACAAGTCTCGAGATAGTTGTCATTTTGCAATGATACTGTACTTTGTTCGAGATTGTTGACTTGAGTTAACTAGATATTAGATTTATCGCGCACTTTCAACTTAGTATCTATTGACACTAACGTGATTTGAACCAGAGGAACCAGAGTAATAAACAACAGTTATCTTCGGCGTAGTTGGCAGTCACGTCGCAATATATGAAATGGTAGTAGATAACTTGTTTATCTGTAAGCCCGCGAAATTTTGAACCATAATGAGAATCATAATTTCTTAAAGATGAAATTTACGTGAACAGTAAAATTTTAGGTAATTTCTCTCCCGAGATTAATAAGAACAGAAATAATTAATTCTCCAATAATATTAAAAAATTAATTACTATTAAGATATCCATATTCTATTAAGAGATATCTATTTTATATTGGAATATTGGAATTAGGTACTATTTATATTGACATATACATAAAGATTATCTTTTTATGAAAACTAATATGATATCTCCTGTTATATTTATTTTAATGTTTTATAAATATTCTCAGTATATCCTGTGATGGAAAAAGCAAAATTGCTCAATAAAAGCAACTGGATGTTCTATATTTTCATTCAGACTACGCAATGCACGCACGCATGCGCACTAATGCATGCTCACTGATGCGTGCGGTGTGCTCGGACTGTAAACAGCTTAAGCAGGCGTCAAAACTCTTCTCCCTGTATATTACTGTTGTTATATATTCTTCCATTATTATTGCTCGAATCTAATATAATAAAATATAACTCGTGAGGCAAAATTGAAGTTATAAAGATGATAAGTGTATATTGAATTTATTCCAGTAAAGTAGATTTTCAATTAAGATAAACAATTGATACAAAAAGAATTACAGGCAATGACTGATATAGTTCTTTAAATTGTCAGACAGAAGCTGAGCCTGAGAGTGAACCTGTTGTTGGATTAAAATTATTCAGAGATGTGTGATTGGTCTATGGACATGTGTCTATTGCTGATAGACCTTTATGAGCGGCATCCAGTATTGTGGGACCCTAAGCATTATTACTATTATTCTAAGAAGAAGAAGTTGGATGCATGGGAGGCAATAGCACAAAGTATGAATCTTGATGTCAAACTTGTACGACAGAAGATGGTCAGCTTACTTGGTTCTTTTCGGGCTCAGAAGAGCAAAGGCAAGAAGTCAATAGGAACTGGAGCAAGTATGTAAAAGTAAAAATTATGAGATGTATGATAACATAAATGTTCTAAGCAATTACTTTAAAGCACTTTTACTTCTTTACAAATTCTAATATCACTTGCTTTATATATATTTCTTTGCATATATTAAATACATTTATTTGTAGATAAGAGGGATGTTTACATTTCCAAATGGTTTGCATTTGAAAGAATGCATTTTCTACTAGACAAAGATGAACCTAGAAATAACACTCATGCTGAAGCAGTAAGTATCATATAATAATATCTTTAATGATTAATCTATTGTCTACTAATTCTTAAAGGAGCAACTCAAAAAGTCAATAAATTATATTAACAAAATAATCTTTCTCTCCAAACAGATGACTTTATTAAATTTGTTCAGTATAACTAAAACCTCCATTTGCAGGGTAATTCGGATCTGACAAATGAATCTGGTCCTTCGTCACCTCTATCAGATGAGTATTATCACGAACCCACAACCATCATAGAAACACACGATGATTCCCATGTGATGTTACTAGACAACGATCAAAGTAACTTGACACTGGATGAGACAGATGATTGCAACATGTTGGATAAAGAAACTAGAGGTTCTAAGCGGTCAAGAAAGATGAAAGACAGTCATAGAGTTGAACAATCATTTGATGTTCTGCAGGATACACACATGTATCCGTACGCGGCCGGGCGAGCACAATTTATGCCGCTTCAGGATCGTTTCTCCACGTATGGGGAACACGTGGCGAATAAACTACGCACATATAGCACGAGGACTCAGGCAATCGTCGAGCATGCGATAAACAATATCCTTTTCGAGGCGGACATGGGTAACTACGAGAAATTTGAAGCGGACGATCCAATGATCTACAATCATTTCCTCAAATGTCCCGTGGTGTCGTCCAGCACGGCCTCGTGTCACAAGTCTGAGCCGTCGTAACACGACTGACTATTCATAAGTTTACACTGCCGTAATACAAGATCACTCATAAATGTGAACAGAAAGTGTATACTATTGGACAAGTCATTGACATGAATCAAGTCTGATATCGATTCGCTGTGTACGCACTTGTATGTGCACGATATATGAAAGAGATATTTGTATATATATATTATCACATAATTATATATACTCTAGTACATATATAGCTCATAAGACAACTTTTAGTTTGAAATAAAACTAAAAGCTGATTTGACGAGGCATGTAACAGATGTTGGCCCATGTTCCATATATTCCAGGACATCTACTAACAAACACACATTTCATTAATCATACAGGCGATGTGAAGGTACTAACACAATCTTGAATTTTATGTTTGACCTTATCTTTCAAATTACGCGCCTTCTTACTTGCGGTATGTGTAGTTAAAGCAATTGTTAGTTTCGCGATCTGATTTTTTATCCATTTGTTTATTCTCAATATCTATATTTTCTTCTAGTTATACGTAAAATGCACGTACACACAGTTAACGAGCCTGCAATTCTTTTCACGCGCTCAGTTTGAATTGAGAACGTAGCGGAGAGCTTGGGAAAAGGGTTGAGAAAGGCATATCGCGATCCCTACTACCTCACAGCTCCGCACTCCCAAAGAAAAAGCCCGATGACGCGGCTCGCGTTCCCATAACGACCAGTGTTTCCCCTAACGACCAACATGGCTGAAGCAGAGGGTAAGTAAGTCTGCGACGTGTACCGTTTGAGTGACATCGTTGCGTGTATATTTACAACGGGCGCGAATAACACGTCGAGAGATCCCGGCCGGTCCAGCCTGCTCCGCAGCTTTTCCCGCCGTTATCATCATCGTCGTCGTCGTCGTCGTCGTCGTCATCGTCGTCGTCGTCATCGTGGTGCTTTCGCGGCTGTCCGACGCGCTTTTTGACGGCGGCCCTACCGCTCGCCACCTCCGTCTATTCTAATTATAGGGTAAACAGCGTAGAGCCGCGATCACCGCCGGTAGCTCACGTTCTCGGGAAGAGATATTGCCGGGAACTGCCTCGACCGAGAAGCTATTGACCCCAGTTTCGTAACACAAAGTGGAGTTTGAGGGCGAGCGTCTCGCAACAGTTGCAACGAGGATGCACGTGGTAGATAATCACTGTGGCAGTGTCACCCACTCACGCTGGTTTCAATGACACTTCTCGCGTAGATTTATTAATTAAGCGACCGCTTCTTTTACAAAAGTCTGTGTTCTTTTTTCTTTAGAATTTAGATTCGAATTTAATTCCTGTTTTCTTTCTTCTATAGAAATAGGCAGCCTTACAGCCTTAATATTTTTCTTGGAGCTTCGGTGCTCCCCCGCCTGTATTCGCACTGTTTATCCTGTTACGCGGCGGTGCATTGGAAGGAAGCGAGAAAAGGAAGCGGTTCACTTTGTGAGACGGCGATAGAGCCGAAAATAAATACTCGTCGCGAGACACTCGTGGTTACAAGTCGCGGTTGTAAGAGGCTGCTCTTACAAGAGCCGGCACGCCGGCGGGCGGCCTCTCAGTCAGTGTCTTGATGCGCTCGCAATCAGATGCTGTGCTGCGTCCCGAAGAGGCTCGCGGACGGGGGCCCGTTCTACGACGAGGCTCCGACCGCGCCACCGTCCATTCACGAGATACAGTTCGAGCTGTATCCTGAGGAAGGTGAGACTGCGAGTTCATCTGTGCTTCGTGCCCGTGAATCTGGCGTATCGTCATTTCGCACTCACCTTTTTCACCAAACGATATATCCTAATCCGCGCTTTGCGAAAAAACATCAGTGAGCCGAGTGGCTCGATAAAAAAAAATCGTCCTATGTGTTTATTTAGTTCTATCGGTCTCACAAAGTGGATCTTACGATGACTGAAGAACGCGGTGTTGAGAGCGCATATTGTTGGAAAAGAACACTGAAATGTAAATATCGATAATGAAATAGTTTAGAAATTTTTAAACCACTCGAAATGTTTTCATAGCAATTAATGTAGCTTGAGGGAATTGTGTTAGAAGAAGCTATTACTGTGTGACATTCGAAGCGTCATAAGAGTTTGTTTACATTCAAGTGGGTACGGTTTGATGTGCGCAGACTCACTGGAGCAAACGTAATCACACATATACACACACACAAACACGCGCGCGCGGATGTGTAATTCTAAATAGTCAGAAATTACTAATATTGTTTACTTGCAAAACAGCTAATTGACCGCGTAGACTTGTTTTTCTCTCCGCATCGATCCTGGAACATTTGTTTTTTTCACCTATCACCACACGGTGCGCATCTAAAAGCGGCTATGAGAATTGTTAATAACGCGCCTCCGCAGTTGCATACTGATCAATTCGCACCGACACAGCAATTGCGTTAAGAGTCTCGACGACCTTAGACGCGCGAGGGACAGTAATAGCTCGCGCGGAAAAAACTTCGCCGGTTCTTTCTAACGCGGCTCACCGACGAGGAAAACATATGAGCGAAACGTTCGCTCGTAGGCGTCGTTAAACGGAACATCTCGACGGAATGAGATCATTTGACAGCGTCGCGAGTTTGTTGTCACGCCTTCGTGAAAAATTACCGGAGGTCTTTCATCACCATTATCGGCATCGCGGCGGTACTCGAAAGCAGGAAACGCGTACTAATAACATCGAACGCGAAAAGCGATTGGTAGAATACTTATTTCGCTGGCACGAATGTGTGAATTTTTAAGTAAGGAATATCACGTATCGTTCTCTATTCATTCTCACGTGATCTCGAGTGGTGATATCTTCACTGTCGCTTCGAGTGAAAATACTGCCACTTTTCGCAGGTTTCGAGCGAGATTCCCGTCCGAGAGATTTCGAGAGTCTAACATGTAAAATAACTTCAAACTTGCACGTGCGGCAAACGGAGACAAACACGCTGACCCACATTCTCGCGACGCATCCAACACTAAACGCGGTTATCGCACATCGTGTTGGCATTGGAGTCGCCGAATAAAATCCGACGAAATCCTGCGACGCACGTGTAGCATGTAAACGAGGCGAGAACTCGCGTCCGAGTTCCCCGAGCGCGTCGAAGTGAAGAAGGAATTCGCCCACTCGGTAGGTGCGAAGACTCGCGATAAGACCCGCGTCTCTCCTCCGTTCGGAGAGAAGATCCGACGAACGGAAAGAACGGATTCTCCTTTTGACTCTTTGCGCGATTACTTTCTGCGCGCGCGATAGATAGATCCGACGCTCGATAATCGCGAGGCACCTCGCACGACGCGCCTAAAAAAGGAAGCTTGCTCTTCTGTAGGCGAGCGAGTCTCGCGGGGGCGACCCTCGGCGTCTTCGTCGTCCTCGTCGGCGGAGCGCGCGTGAATCGACGCCGCCAGGTGTCCAACCTGGCGCGGCGTGTATACCTGGAGATCGATCGTGCAATCGCTGCTTGGCAGTTGAAAGAGCAGCGAAGAGCGAAGCTTCTCTACGGCTCCCGCGCGGATTCGTCAAAATCCGTCAGGATCGTCAGAATCGTCAACCCAGTGACCGCGGCGCGCGCGGTGAAAAGTACAAAAGAACAAATGTATTGTTAATCGCGTGACGAACTCGCGGCGCGATTACGAAAATATTATTAAACGATAATGTATCGACGAGAGCTTCAATCGTCGTTGTGATCGCGACTCTCCGAGCTGCGTCGTTCGTCTCGGACGTCTGACGGCGATATTGACGTGATGAATTAGCGAGCTACCGAGAACAAACGTAACCTGGGCGAGAGACGAAATGCGAAAAAGGACACGGCGCGGTGCCGCGTGTATGAAAATCGCGTGGGAGAAGAAGCGAGCTTGCACACCGCGTTGAAAAATGAATGGCTCATTGAGTGCGCGTGTTAGCGTGTAGCGCACGGCTCGTAACAACCGGGGCACTCTCCTGCGAGTGATCTCTCGCAAGCGAGGATAACAGCATGTAGCTATCGTTGCGTAATTCCTGCGGCGATCGAAGAAAGTACGAATCTGCAATTTAGATGACCGTAGCTTCCGATCTCGCGGCGAGTTGCACTAGCGTGCGGCATTTTCGAGGTCTTTCTTCATGCGCGCGCGCGCGCGCGCGTGTTCGTGTAGTTGCCGTATATGCGCCTGTTAGAGCGGGGTACGCGCCGTCGTATTTGACGATCTCTCGGCGTGTTGTCGACGGCGAAAATATCGATTATTCGCGGATTCGTAGCCCTTGTCAGGATGAATAGCGATTAGCGCGCGTGATGACTCAGATCGTGCTTCGTATGTGTAATGGCCGGGACGGATCGGTCGGCTCGCATTGAGCGGCTCTCGACGGAGACGAACACCGCGTGTTCGCGCTTTATCGCGTTTGCATGGGTAATAAAGAGGCTGCAGTTCCTATTACGTGAGCTTTGGGCCACGGAAAAAGAAGGAAAACGCAGAAAAGAGCGAACGTTACGTCTTCCAGCGAAGAGAGCAAGTTTCTTCGCTCGCGTTGCGATATAACACACGAAGGTCGGGCTCGCGCGAGGCGCGGATCGATTCTGCGTAATCTGTTGTAATCGTTGGGCGATAAATGGACGCAGATGCATCGCCGCCGATCCTGCTGCCGTGCGCGATCTGCGCGCGGACCTTCATGCCGCAGTCGTTGGAGAAGCACGCGAGAATATGTGAGCGTGCCGCCGCCAAGAAACGCAAGCCCTTCGACTCGGCGAAGCAGAGGATCCAGGGCACCGAGCTGGCCGAGTTCTTGCCGAAGCAGGAGATGCGACGACACCAGGACGAAAGGGGCCGCGTAATCTCGCCCACTTGGAAGAAGACCCACGACGACTTCCTGCGGGTCATCCGCGAGGCACGCGGCGAAGTCGTGAGTCTTTCAGTCTCTTTCAGAGAGCACGGTATTTTTGTAATAAATGTCGCACAAGGCCAAGTCGATTACTAGTCGGTCATTTTCACGGTGAAGGTACCTGGTGAGCAAAAAATCATGGACGTAACGATGTTGCGATGGTATTCAGCAATGTTTTATAATATGTAGTTATTGCAATCATCACGAATAACTCTCCAGCACTTCAATATTATTCCTGTTCATTTATTTACTTATTTATCTCTGGAATATTTTTGTAATATTCGAAAGGATCATATGTTACTCTTGATAATGTTTTCAAAATTTGTAAAACATAAGTGAAGACATTCAAGAGAAATGCATAGAGAAAATCAACTTTTCAAGGACTAATGTTCCTTGTTTACTGGGTGAGAGAAACTATTCTTCTTTATAATGAGAGAGTGTTCTTTCTGTAATTAATAAATTTCCATCGTCTGCTTTCTCAGATCAACTCGCGCAAACAATGCAATTCGCTGAGCTCATCAGGCGCACCGACTCGTGCCAATGAGAAGGGTACTTGTCCCACGTGCAATCGGCAGTTCGGCATCAAGGCTTACGATCGCCATGTAGCCTGGTGCAAGGACAGGGTCATCAGCGTACCAGTGAGCCCAGCGGTCAATCTGGCGAAGGAGCGACTAGAAGCGCGCATGAGGTACAGGGCGCCAGCCCTGAAGAACCGACGAGCCGCCAATCGCGAAAAGTACAGCTCGGCCTCGGCGGGGAATCAGTGTAAAACGTCGTTGTCGGTACCGGCGCTTGTGAAACCGAAGGAGAGCGTCTCGATGCCCAACTGTAGCCGGGAGAGCTCGAGCAAGCAGAAAGCAGCTGTTGTGTAAGTCGATTCCTTAATCGCTCTTCGGTTGATGCTTCTCTTCAGAGTCTTCTTAGATTTTAAATCTTAAAAATAAAAATTATGTGTTTTTTCAACTTAGCCTAATATTTTTTATATCTTTGTAACGTACGTCTTTTACTTTAAACGTGAATTCCTTGCGGAAAATTCGCATTGATGTTTCAATCTATTCTCAAACTTGGCTGAATTAACTTCGTCATACTTGTGTTCTTACAGCAGACGCCCCGGGCAACTGAAGGAATCTCCCATCTCATCCGGACCCATGAAATCTCGCCTCGCAGACCGTACAAACAAGTAAGATTCTGTTTAACATCACTATACTTACCGACGCTCTGTGGATTTTATCAGATAAGCGTAGTAAGTAAGTAAGATAGACTTTTATGCTTACTGCCGCCCATGAGGAGAAGGGGAAAGGATGACGCTAATCAGTATTTAGTAGATAGAGAGCTATATATAATTATATAGTTTAACAAAAACTTAAATGCATCGCAAAAATAACGTGATTGTCATTTCTTCGCGCGAATTTTTTATCAAATCCGACGACCTTCTCCTGATGACATCAGGCGCACATCCTTGATCCTACTTCCTTCTCCTCAGGCCAGCGGAAGATCACGATCATTTACCGAAAATACCCTGTCGATCCCCTCACGTTCCGGTATCCTCTCGTCGTGCTCCAAACATTTCCGTATCCTCCTTGAGGCCTCGGATCAATGATTCAACGATCTCTTCTAACGAGTTCGTGTCGCTTAATTCGATCAAGAGACAATTCGACCGAAACGAAACGATTCCTCATCGTCTCGTAAGCGATGAGACGAGGAATCGGGAGATTTGCACCGCCAGAACGCAGAGAAACATCGTCTCTGCTAGGAGTCGCGGTAATCCAAAGCTCAACGATGTCGCCGTAAATGACAAGACTCTGGGCGTGACGGTACAGCCTTGTAAAATATACAAGGATCCGCAAAAGAACGACCAATTGGTCACGTGGAAACAGATCAGTCGCAAGAAGAGTCGTCCTCAGGCGACCGAGTCTGTAATTAGATGTAATCTTCCGCAAGAGTTTCAATTACTCGACCTGAATTCAATTACTCAACTCGATCTGAGCCGACAACTTGACGAAGAGAGAGAAATCGACACGGTTACAGATGAAAATAGGACAGAGAAAGATTTATTGGTCACCAAGAACGAATCCGACGATGAATTGAAAGTTTACGAGCTCGATAAGCTGGATGACAATCGCATCTCCTGGTTGGACAGTATCCAGAATTTGAATCAGACGTACTTAATTAGAGATTCGGAAGATATCGAGCAGCTAGAGGTCTTTCACAGTAAATGGAGACCGATCAAGCACAGTCCTCGTGTGGAATTTTATTTCAAGGATACGAGAGAAGCTGAAGTTTGCGAAGCAGATGAAAAGAAATTGAAGAGAAACGGCAAGACAAAGGATAAAGATATTAGAATCACCGAACACGTGGAATTAAAAACGGATGAAGAAGATAAAGAACATGACACGAAGATGAACGATGAACGCGAGGCAGAAATTGCAGAACTCAGAACAGAGGTAGTAAGATTAGGTAGCGAAGATGAAAAAGATATCCAGAAGATGAATGGTGCAGACGCTATAGACTGGGATAAAATATATGCGGATAAGAAATATGGGAAAGATAAACAGATAACGATGAATGAAAATATCACTGAAGCCAAAGAAATATTTGGAGAGATTGAGAATCCGCTGAATAATATTTTACAAAATTTATCCGATTCTCATGGACATAAATCATCCACGCTTGACGTAATGTATCTCGCTGATAACACACTGGAGGCATCGACAGCGTGTGAGCAATCTTCATCGAGGGAATTCAAAATAGACTTTAGCGGGAATAATGATTCTCATTCGAATAACAGACCTTTTTATTTCAAACACGGAGATCTGACGCTTCGTCTCGATAATAGAAACGACTTGGCGTTTTCGGACAGCTTCATTAATCTCCATCAAGATTACAATATATGTTCTGAAGACAAGATGTCACAGTACAAAAACGACACGTGTCGCAGCGAAGTGAAAGAGTTTAATGCTGCCGGTAATTTTAAGGATGACAAAAGCGAAGAAGCAGGCTCCAATGTCGACTTAAACGACAGCTCGAACATTAAAACAGAAGTCCATGGCTGCTCGGTAGATGAAGCAGAAATTACGGCAGGCGGACGCTTGCGCGAAGTACATGATGAGCGCGTCATCAATAGTGACATCGAGCACGGCGACGGTAATACTGCCACAACAACGCGAGGCGATAACGATTCTGAGTCGTCAATCACGTTTCCAAAGGACAACGTCGTCGGGGAATCGCCGCGAAAAGTCGTCCCGGACGTTCACGCGAGCGTGAATTTGTCGAGACACGTTTCCAGCTCGAGTTGGAGAAGTGTGAGAGAGCGTCCGCGAAATTCCGTTGAGATGAACCACAAGATCAGGGGCAGCATGAATCTTCTTCGTGACAGCACCGACTCCCTGATATCTTCCGTCGAATTCGTTGAGTTGTCGAGCATCGAGCAGCCGGAAGCGGCTCGCACACACGGGAGAGAAATCATAAAGATAATTAGGCCTAGCAAACGAAGCAGGATGTTGGAGATGCTACCGGATATACCGGTGGAAACGAGGGAAACTAGTGAAAGGTTGTTAAATCAGACATATTGGGAGAGAGCGTCGAAGATCTCGCGGAGCAGACTGATCAGCCTCGATCCTCCTCCGTGTCACGTGGATTACAAGCTCGCCAAGAGAAATCCCAGAGTCCGCATCCTTCCACCAGTCCCGAATACATCCTTGATCCAACAAAGGTAGAGATCGGTAGTGGAGAACGGTAGAAGAGAGTGTGAAACAAGTAGAAAAACGTACAGTTGATTCGTATAATTTGCAATATAGATTGGTATTCAATTGGCTGTGAAATACCATGTCAGATTATACTGCCAGCTGCACTGTAAGAAGTAGAACATAGTTGTAATATGATCTTCCCGGTAGGATGATAGTTGGAGTTTAACGCGTTAACAATATTGTAGGAAAATCGAACTGACCACACGTCCCGCCTGGTGCAATTACGTGCGCAGACGGCCGGACTTTAATCTCGTGCTTAAGGCTAGAACGTAAGTTCCAAGACGTGGAACCGGTAGCACGAGGTGTATTTTTTCGTTCTTACGTTCTTACGTTGAGAACGCTCAATTGCTCATTAATAATATTCCTGAGCATTATACAGGACGCACCAAACATTGACGGAGAGCGGACGCACAGCGTTATTCCTTATTATTATAACCCGTGAGAATTAATTTTCGGGATGGACACGAATTTCTCCCTTCTTCATTTCTCAGGGGATAACGCTGATGTGCGTCGGTATTGAGCGTTAATTGAACAAAATGTTAATTGTCTAGAATAATTGGCGGATCAATCATGAAAATTAATCTGTCGCCATACGATCACGTGTGATCACGAGTAACTTAATCGTTGGATGATTTTGTTTGTTAATTAGTGTATAAACGATCGAATCGAAGTAATCAGTTGACACAATGATTATTCGTAATCCCGATGTTACGACCTTTGTTATTTTAGACAACTAAAATTCTTCTGCAATCGATCAATATGCCCGATATGCCACTGATATGCCTTCACCAGGCGAATTGTATCACGAGCTTCACGATCATATTATAGCTTGCACGCACGTACGAGCATTTATCTAGAAAATTGATCGACGCACCGTCTGTAAGAGTAGTTTGCCTGAGGTAGAGCACTCGTAGAGGCGGAGCACGCCACGTGATCACGCACATCGCACTATGTCGGTCGCTGAGGCGTTCACCCATTCAGAGGCGAAACAATTCTCCGAGCCCAAGATCGCACTAATCGAACATCAATTCGCAATTTACAGCGGCACGTGCAAGGACTACGACCCGTTCCTGCTGGCCGAGCAGCAGATGAACGAATTACTGTCGGACACGAGCGATCAGTCTATGATGAGCAGTCCCAAGCCTCAGACTCGCGACCTTTATCCTCTCTCTCATTCGTCCGCTTTCGTGAAATATCCTTGCCAGACAAATCCTGTCAATCTCGACAAGAGGTCCTCCTTAATAGCTCCTCCGTCTGAGTTCGACGACCTCATCTCCGACTTCTCGAGCGACTCGACCGAGACCAACTCGATCTCGCGCGAGGTCTTCCTCAAGGATCTCGCTGACAGCAAGGACACTACGGACCTACCGGGTTCGAAACCTGCTCGCGAGCTGGGCAGACGATTGATCATCGACAAGACAAAGGCGCTGGGCGGCGATTTGCTCGAGGAGCAGCGTCGCAACGTCATCGGCAGTGCGGACAAGGCGCGTAAGAACTTGGACAAGCTCATCATGCCTAAAATCGTGCCCAAGGCCACACGACCGCTCGTTGACCGGTCCAACTCGATACGCGCCTCGTCCGCTCCAAGGAGCAACGCGAGCTCCGACAGGAAAGTTTCGGGCGACGTCAGGACGGCCGCTGCCAAGTTGACCGAGAGTCGGAGGTCGTCGGACCAGAGTCTCAATCAGAGGAACAACAACTATTCGTCCCTGTCCGGCAGCAACCTCAGCCTCAGCTCGATCGTCTCCTCGGAGATGGACATTAAACGGTCGAACTCAGTGTTCGACGAGCTAATGACGTCTCTCGAGGAAGACCTCTCGTTCCCTACTCTGAGATCCTTCCTTAATAACGAGTCCTTCATATCCAGCTCTGCGCTCGGCGACGGCCAGCGAAACGGCATCGTCAGCGACGAGGAACTGTCTTCGCCCGACAGCTACAAGCCGCAGGATCATCACAGCAAGCTTAGCAACGACTCTGCTTATAGCAGGTTGGTCTTCGAGATTGTATCTTGAACTGTGACGAATCTCGTCGCAGATTGGGTTCAAACGTATCAAATTCAAATTAATCAGATCAATAATTCACATTTGGCGAATTATTAATTTTTCTTGGTTTATAAACCTTTTAGACAATTATATGTTACATTTTTTTTTATTGTCTAGTCATGACTGCACAAGTATCATCCACTCGTTCGTCTGTGTTCTTCGTGTCTCTATATGCTTAAAACTTGGTTCAATTTGTGCCCCTTAGTTTAAATCGCAAATATTCACATCATGGACGCAGCACCAATGATGTGATCGGCCGTCTCGACGAAGATGCAGCTGGGAATGGGACACCGTCGCAGACGGTTAAGTGCAAGATGTCCAAGTTTTGCCACGAGTGCGGCCTGCGGTTTCCGGAAAACGCGAAATTTTGTTGCGAATGCGGTGTCAGAAGGCTCGCGCTGTGAAAGAGCACTCCTTTAATCATCGTCGTATCACAATTATGACGCTCGGCAGCAGCGAAAATTGAACACCGCCCAGAGGATATTCTCCGGAGAGCGGAGTAGCCCGAAAATGAGATTTCGAGGGAAAGGATTTTTCGAAGCCGAGATCGCACGGCGAATATTCTATGAAAGAGAAGACACGACGAGTTAACTGCCTTCTCACGATTATACATATAAGCACTCTATGATTCGGACGGCTTTTATAAAAGTTTCAGAGTTTCGAAATATCTTTTATGAATTTTGTGAGATAGCATTTTTTACCGCGCGATGGAATTTTTTTGATCTACTTTAGTTCGCTTCGTAGACCGCGTTAATTTGCTCGCCACGTTTGGATAGTCTAACGATATATTTGATAAGCATTTTTCTCGTCGCACATACACACGTCCACACATCGAGAGCCGTCGAGCGAGATCGCAGACTCCGTCCTGTTTTTTACAAACTCGCAAGTGCGTCTTTTTGATAAGCTTTTTATATTACGAGAAAAACTGCTGAGAATCTCGCGTGTGTACGTGTGCGCGTGTGTTCTCTGTCGAAAATAAGTGAATTAAAAGTAATCGGAGTTTATTTCATGAAGAAATGAGAACTGCCACTAAAATTGTCACATATAGTATTTTATTTATTTCTGTACGTAGTCTAACTTAATTCTAATCTAAATAACGAATTAAGAAAACTAACGTGGATCTTTGAAACGGAATGAAAATATATTAAAGTGAATTTTCACTTTCAGTTCGAATTAGTGTCGGTCGAGAGTTCAAATTTTAGATATCTCATATTCGAGAAGTGAACTTCTCTCAATACATTTTAATTCGCTTAATTTTGCAAGGATTCTCATATTTTACGTGTTGTGTATGTCGTGTACAACGAGATATAGATCGTAGGATAAGCTTAGAAGGTAGCTAATAGTGGTGATTAGACGAGCCGCCGTTACAACTCGCGCCCGCTCAATTAACACTAACCACTAATGAGTAAAAATAACGAAATACGAGGAAACGCGATGCGTGTAACGATTCTAATGAGAGTAACTCGTTGCGTGCGTGTAGTTGGCTCTCTGGTGTATGTAACGTACCAAAGAGTAACATTGCGATAAGCGTTTAACAAAACTCACAACGATCGATATTTAACTCAAAGGTAAGAATGCGTTCGAGACTAATAGTATGCAATAGACAAATTGTGTACGTTTCAAACTGTATTTTTGCAAGTGCAATAAACCGATGCTTATACAGATTTGTATGAACCCGATTCTGGAGCTCTCCCTGAGGGGGAGCTCCCTGCAACAATAAAGGCATATTACGCATGAAGCGTTATAAATATATATACTTGAAAAATTGTTCTCATTTGTTTCGCGATTCGACAAATGAATGTGTAGAAACTGAAAGAGTTTTATCAGTCATGACAGTTATTAAGACGAGCACAAGCCCATCGAGTATTTGAGAAGATGTGGCACCGTTCAATCAGTCGATTAACGCCGACAGGTGGAATTTTGGTAAGATCCTGTTATCATATCAAACTCGAACACGCAGCGGATATGATTTATAGCGTGAATCTTTCTTCCAGAAATATGTGAGACAACTTCGCGCGACGTTTAGAAATTCCAGAAGCTTTCACATAAACGTTAGTTCGGCAGAGAAGGCGAAATGCGGCAAGGAATTTAACGGTAGTGTAAGTGCATTTATCCAAAATTATTTGTCAAAATTTACAAAAAGTCTCGAGATACTTTTACAAAATGTGAGACTCAAAAATTAGCATCCAGCACTCTCTTTAGAAGCACAATTTATGTTTAATTTTAATTGTAATAAATTTTTATCCCAGTAATCGCAGTAATAATAAATTTTCAGTTTCGATTAAACTTCTTTTGATCGATCGGTCATGGCTTTACATGTGTGGCACATTAATCAGCTGCTAATCCATTCGTATTGATTGCAGTATCCCTTAATAGATCACTGCTACGACGTAGTGGTAGTGGGTGCAGGAGGTGCAGGATTGAGGGCCGCTTTCGGCCTCGGCAGCAAAGGATATCGCGTGGCGGTGGTGACAAAGCTCTTCCCGACCAGATCGCACACCGTGGCCGCCCAAGGTGGCATCAATGCCGCGTTGAACGATGAAAATAATGAGAATGGAGACAACTGGCTCTTTCACATGTACGACACCGTGAAAGGCTCCGACTGGCTGGGCGACCAGGACGCCATACACTTCCTCTCCAGGGAAGCCTCTCGTGCGGTTTACGAGCTCGAGAATTATGGTAAGTGCAGTAATAAATTAGGGACATTTGTATAGCTTTTTCACGAGGCTCTTGTAAGCTAGAGAATCCTTTTTGTTTCAAGAAGGATGAGTGAAGAAAATGTGGGCCCATTCAAATCGAGTTTTTCCCTTTTCAGGGAGAGATTTCACAGAAGCGGCTTTTGATTGGTTAATTAAGATCCTAAAGATATATTTTACAAACCATGGCATATTGTTTTCGCAGGTTGCCCTTTCAGTCGTACGGACGAGGGTAAGATCTACCAGCGGGCTTTCGGCGGGCAATCGTTGAAATTCGGGAAAGGCGGACAAGCTCATCGAACTTGCGCCGTCGCCGACAGAACCGGCCACGCGCTGCTTCATACCTTGTATGGGCAGAGTCTTCGTTACGACGTACACTACTTCGTCGAGTATTTCGCTTTGGACCTGCTCATGCACGGTCGATGCTGCAAAGGTATCTTGGCGTGGGAATTGGAGACCGGTCTTCTGCATCGCTTCAGGGCTCACCATACGGTAAGAAAGTTGTCGCCGAATTCCATCTATTAATAGGCGAATTAATATTTTTCATTCTGTCGAATCGAATATCAATTCGGTCGAATTAATATTAACGGACAAATAAACTGATCAATGTTGAGAGAAATAATAGCTACTTCTCTCTCTCTCTCTCCCTCTCTCTCTCTCTCTCTCTCTCTCTCTCTCTCTCTCTCTCTCTCTCTCTCTCTCTCTCTCTCTCTCTCTCTCTCTCTCTCTCTCTCTCTCTCTCTCTCTCTCTCTCTCTCTCTCTCTCTCTCTCTCTCTCTCTCTCTCTCTCTCTCTCTCTCTCTCTCTCTCTCTCTCTCTCTCTCTCTCTCTCTCTCTCTCTTTCTCTTCGTAGGTGATCGCAACAGGCGGCGCCGGAAGATGTTACTTCTCCTCCACGGCGGCGCACACTTGCACTGGCGACGGCATGGCGTTTGCTTGTCGAGCGGGCTTGCCGCTGCAGGACATGGAATTCGTCCAGTTCCACCCGACCGGTATACAGACCCACAAATCTGGCTTTTTACTTCGCCACTCCGTTCTTAGCTGATAGACCGACTTTCCATGCAGGCATCTACGGCAGCGGTATACTCATCACCGAAGGCAGTAGAGGGGAAGGCGGCAAACTCGTGAACTGCAATGGAGAGTACTTCATGGAGAAATACGCGCCTGTAGCCAAGGATCTAGCCTCGCGCGACGTGGTGTCGAGAGCCGTAACCATCGAGATATTGGAGGGAAGGTGGGATTTCTCATAGCTTGTTTTTGATCACGTTCTACAATCACAGATCACCGAGTATTTGAAAGAACCATTAGGTGTGTGCAAAAATTCTAGTCTCGGCATATCATGAAAATAAATAGCGAGAACTTGCGGAAAGAAGAAACTGAGACTTTGCACACATCTAAAACGAATGAACAGAAGTAAGGTTGATGATGTGTTACACTTTCGAAATACATTGGCATACCTTTTCGCAGAGGTTGCGGAAAGAAGAAAGACCATATACAGTTGCAATTGAGTCACCTGCCGGCTGACCTGATAAAACAGAGACTACCGGGGATCTCGCATCTCGCTTGGGTGTTTGCCGGAGTGGACATAAAGAAAGATCCAATCCCCGTGATTCCCACGGTGCATTACAACATGGGAGGCATACCTACGAATTGGCGTGCACAGGTGAAAAGTGGGGTCATTAGCTATATGGACAATAACAGAAACTAATACGTGACGAAAGAAGCGATAATTGAATGAACGTTTATGATGCTATTAGTTCGGCACTGTAGTTACATTTTGGCATCTTCAGGTGCTAACGCGAGAGAACGAGGAGGACAGACCGATTGAAGGTCTCTGGGCTGCTGGAGAGACTGCGTGTGCCTCCGTACACGGTGCTAATCGACTGGGCGCTAACAGCCTTTTGGAAGTCGTAGTCTTTGGCAAAGCTATCGCTGATCAGATCGACTGCCTGAGCAGACCCGGTGAACGTCACGAGGACTTGGCTCCGGTAAAAAAATTAGTGGAGTATTTCAGAGGTACTCTGGGATCGATGATGAATATTTTCCTCCAGCGAGAACTCGTAAAAATTTTCTACGTTGGAAACGTTTGGAAGTGTTCACTTTCCACGAGTTTACATTGGAGAAAAAGATTCATGAATCGCTTCCCGGAAGTGTCCAGAAACAATCGGCGTTCTATTGGCTGAAAATTTTAATCTAAATTTTAACCGAATAATTCCATTGCAGGAGATCGGCGAGCAGACAATCTGTCGCTTCGACGCGACCCGTTACGCGAAAGGTTGTATTCCCGTAGTCGAGCTGCGCGAGGAGATGCAACGTACGATGCAGAAATATTGCGCGGTATTCCGGACTTGCGACATACTGCAACGCGCATGCAGAGAAATGACTCGATTTTACACTTGCGATTTACCGGACTTATGCGTGAGTCTATCACATGCACATTTACGTTACACAGATAGCGGTCAGTCATATAAACTTTGTGAAAACTAAGAGGTAATATACTTGAGACAGATAAGCGCTGTTATGCATTCGGTGACGTAAACTGCCGTTACGTAAGACAGTGACAAGCATGTACGAAACTCTTCCATTCACGTTCGCGTTTTTATTCTAATGTCCGAATCGCTCCTAAATATCTTTCAGGTGCAGGATCAGTCTCTTATTTGGAACACCGAGCTCGTCGAGGCCTTGGAGCTGCAAAACATGATGCTCGTTTGCATGAATATCGTTTACGCAGCTGAAAATCGTAAAGAATCGCGAGGCTCACACACTAGGGAGGATTACAAAGTATGTAAAAGTTACATTTAATAGACTCAAAACGTTCGCTGTGAACGTTCGGGTTGCACATGTTCAGAAGCGAGAAATAATCATATATATATATATTTTTTTTTTATCAATATACAAATAGATATGATTCGAAATATTTAAATGCTCTACCCAATAAACACTAATTAACAGATAATATTATATCAATATTGTAATTTTCTACTCAAGTATAACACTAATCCTATAATTTCTCATTTATAAAATTTATTACTTATTCGATGTAACAATTACATGCAACATATGTTATATTACGCTTATATTTATAAATGAGAAATTATAATATTGATGTAACGTTACTATTGATTGATGTTTATTGATAAGCCCTTAAAATCATCGTTTTAAAGTTCTTAAGTAATTAAAGTTTCGCCGTTATTTTTACAATCAAGGGAAGCAAATTAGTCTCACGAAATGCTCGTTTCGTTTTTAGGAGAGAATCGACGAGTACGACTATTCGAAGCCGCTCGAGGGACAGAAAAAACGACCTTTCACAGAACATTGGCGTAAACATACGCTCACATGGGCCCTGGGCGACGGAACGGTGAGCGGCAAATTAAGTGAAATTTCATGGCAATTAATTAAGCGCTTTCTATAAATCATTTAGCTAAGCGCTTGTGTCTTGCCAATATTGTTGAGTGCTGACGTTGACGCCATATATGTATATGTCGCGATGTTAATAATCGCACCTTGTTTATAGATTTGCATTTCTTATCGACCCGTTATCGACACAACGCTGGACGAAACCGAGGCTCAACACGTACCGCCTACGGTCCGCGTATATTGACTCGGATTGAAATCAGTTGCAAGAAATGGAGTAATTAATATGTAACGGAAGTATAATGCGATTATAAATATAATCGCTAATTATGCTTACGGTCAAGTCTGACGTCAAAGACGCAAAATCTAGGCATCAACGGAGCGAAAAAAGTCGTTATCGCGTAAAACCGGTCAGTGAATCTCGCATATGCTGCGTTTTAGTTCCCAGACACCTTATACAAGCACGTTTTGTGGTCTGTCTTATTCTCGATGGCCTCGCACGCGACAGATGTCGACGATGGCTTATCAGCAGGTTTAATTAATTTGCATTACGCTCGCATTAATTAACGATTGTACGATGAGAAGAAAACGTGCCATTTGATCGAATGTATGTGTTTTGAAGAATTTTTGAAGAGGCATCTTAGAGAAATGTTGCTAAATATTTTGTTCCTCCAATAGCCAAATTACGTGCAATCGGTCTCTCTTTTCGAAGGAGATATAAATCGCGGACAATGTGGCTCAATAATACAGCAACTTTTACTCAGTTTCGTAAGAGATACGTTAATCTCACCTACACTGATAACGCTATTGCTGAGGTCGTTAAATCGCGCTGATGAATGTTGAGTAAATTCTTCCTCGGAGTATTAAATTCATCATTCTTTTGTTTTTCTACTTTATTTTTTCTACTAGACGTACACTAAATTCGAAAGATGTATCTAACAATTTGCATCGTCTCAGCTCGCGTTCAGTGCTAATTGCGTCTGTTTAACTTGAAGTTTTAACTAATACGATGTGATAAAAACACCAATCGCACCTCTGTACAGAATATTTTGGAATCTTTATGAAATAATAATACAAATAAATAATACACGCGCTTATGTACAGATAAGATATAAGATTGATACAAATATTAAGTAACTTCAGCACATAATATATTCGCCGCGTGTGAAATATTAAACATAGCCATGACTTGGCGGCAGTTGCGGATATAGGTCAATGACGAAAGTGCGATGTGTTGAACGGGAGAAAACGCAGCGACGAGATCACTCCTACGCATTTTTCGGTTCGTAGGTGAGAGGTAGCCGCGCATTTGCTTTCCTTCGCTCCTATCATGCTGCGTTCCGCCTCTCGTTTATACCAGCTTATACCGGGTAAGCCGAAATAACACGCGCGCTAATTGTTCCAACATTATTTCTACCGCTCAGTCCGAAACTTCGTAGACCCGCGGCAATAAATTTTCTTTGTCACACACACACACACCGCCGACCTTCTTTCTCTTGCTGAAACCCAAAAGGGACGTTGGTCGCGAATGATACGAATGAGTCGTTAAAGCGTGCGGGACCATTGTTGATTTCGAGATTGGCTCGATATCGCTCGCGTCTGCACACTTTCGCACTCCCGTTCTTATCTTCTCTCTCCCTCGCGGGCGAAATCGCATGCTCGCCTCGTCTCGCATGCGGCGAGCGCGACTCAACTACACTCAAAGCACGGCGGGACTTTTCGGCGCACTCGCTTGGCAGCACTGAGCGCGCGCAACTTCGCAGCCGGCGCGCGCGTCAGTCAGCGCCGAGACGCCGAGTCAGGAGTACGTTGTTGCTGTTGTTGGGGGTTAGTCGCGCAGTGCGTGTGAGTGTGTTTGTGCGACTGGTCACAGGGCGTACTTGAAGAGGGTCGATCTCGCGGGACGTGCTGCGACAGAGGAACAAGGACGTGGAGCAGCGCGATTGAAGATGAGCGGCATGCTGAAGCTGTCGGCATCGTTGCTGCCGAGGAGCCTACCCGGAGCGACGATTTTGGTGAGTGATGTTACCTCCGAGTCTAACGGGACGCGCGCGCTCCCCTCCGACTCGAAGGGAGAATTGGACCAGCGTATGCTTAGAACCAGGTGCATCGAGACCCGCCGAGATCATCCTCCGCCACAATCTTCGTCGCCGCAGCAAAGATCCCGTCCATTACCATAAAACTCCACTCGTCGCGACGGGGATGTCGCGGCGAGCGACGTCACCACGAGGTCACGCCAGTTTCAGCGCACCTGATCTAGCGGGAACTCGCTGCCTATCGAGCGGCCTCGCGCCATCTTACCAGAAATAAATAGACGCTTTTGCGCCTCCTGCTGCCCCATCCTGCTGCGTTTCATCCACCTGACAAGTCAGCCTGCGATTTCGACCCGCCGCCAGCAGCCTCCTCGCGATTGCCCACCGCTTGTTATATAATTTCTTATCCACCGAGTGTCGGTGGTGGCTAGGTGCACGCACGCACCTAGCCGATCAATTACATAACGATGTATGTATGAAGCGCGCGAGAATGCGCGAAAACTGCGCCCGCGCGCTCGACACGTCGTCGGACACGCGCGCGGCGGCGGCGGCGGCGACGGCGGCATCCCTCCGTTTGTCTTCGTCTTCTTCTTTTCCTCTCAGTTTCCCTCCCACGCGTTTCATACGCTCTCGGCAGACGTTAGCCGCCGAAGGGGAGCTGCTGCGAAAGCATTTAACAACGGCGCGCTTGCCGTGGAAACCGAGACGCACACCTCTTCGCCGCCGTGCTCCTGATCGGTATTTTGGTCGCGATGTCAGCAATCACCCGGTGCCGATGCGCGACGCATCTGGAATGTATCGTCGGCCGGCTCGGGTGAACGAGAAGTGACGTAATTCCGCAAGAGCCCGTGCTGAATTATTCTCGCGGCTATCTTCATCGGAATTTGCCGTTAGGAGGAAGAAATTACGGCACGCTGTATACCGCGATATACGCACATCGTGGCGTCGAATTTTTTTTCGAAGGAAAGGTCGCGACGTGGGGAATAGCAGGCGAGAAGGCTGCGTCAAAGCTCGGTTGACTGACTATAATTATCTTTGCTCCGAGCTGTCTCTAGCCGTGACGTGGATAAAGGGAGGAAATCGTGTGAGTCACGTGAATAGTCTTCCGTGATGTTTAATTAATCTATTGTACAATAGTTCTCTACTGTCCGCGGTAAAATCTCGAACTTCCTCGCGCGTATTACTCTTATCACATGTCGTCGCAATTCAGTCGGAGCAACAGCGTCGTCCTCTATCAAAATTCGCGCGATAACAGATCGCCGTGACAACTTCATGAAGCGAGATAAGAACGTGATAATACCGTTACACTTTACGTTACGCGCCGCCGTTATATCGCGTTTAACGGTTGATCGTACCGGCGACAATTCATTAAATATTGTATTCATTAAATATTTCCCGGTGGATGAAGAGGAACATTTCGAAGAATGAAGACCCATCCCTTCCTTTTTTTTTCTTTCTTTTTTATCTCCTTTAAAATTGCAGCAAAGTCAAAATTTCTCGCTTTTACTTCTTATCCTTGGTCATTTGTTTAAATCGAACGGGTCAACTTGTCAAATTTTTATTTTCAAATTATAATAGAACGATTTTGGATATTTTGTCTTTTCCTTATTCAGGCATTGGAAAAAAGAAACGATGCGATCTTGGGATCAAGCAGGAATTTCCGCCTCATCTTCGAGACCGCTTACGAACTGGTCGACAGTAAGCCGCGGCAAATTACAGTTTTTCTCAGTTACGCAAACGCCGCTTGATGTCATTGAAATATCAATTTTTTCCATTATTCCGAGTAACTTACCATGTGATATACGTACATGCACAATTATATAAGTTATACATAAATTATACATAATTATATAAATTTTATATATATATATATATATATATATATATATAATGTTGTAGCTGTTGCATATATTGTATTATATATAATATTGCATATTATATAATATAAAATTGTAGCATATATATAATTTATATATATATATATATATTATATGCTACAATGTGTGCGATATTGCGTAACATGAGTTCTTTTCCTGCACCAAGTCATTTATCGAACGAACAATTAGTCAGTAGACTTCAGTAACTTCAAAACGTTGCTTTAAAGTACAGCCGCTGTTCGTTCAGTCTACAAATTCTGCAAAAAAAGAAACACATTATTAGCCTGTCGCGAGGTATTGGCGAACTGTCACATTTGCGCTGTCATATACCACGCACTGTATAATTATCTAGGCGTATTACTTCATTTCAAAGGTGAACATTTTTGTTATTAATAATTTTAATTACTTATTCCGATAAGACGACCTCGCAAGATTTTGTTGACGCGAAAGCGCACCGCGTTTCCTTCGCGATTGCGGTTGCTATGATTAAAAACGCGTACAATTCCTTTATCTCGCTGCGAGCCAATTGTATTTATCGCGACTATCGGTATCTGTCATTGTATGTACAAACAGAATGTCGAGTGCACATAACGAAATACACGTTCGCTCGTATGCGCAATCGTGCGCGCATGTTCACGGCTCATTATAAATAACACAATGCGGCCACGTGACGTCTTATCTAACAAACATTTGCTGTTGGAATACCGAAACTGTAGCTGTACCGAAAGTGACTGAAGACTCCAGCGGTAACACAAACGTGAAATTTATAAACAGCGACCGCGAAGCGACACGTGAAACATTCTAGCAATTTTCTTCGATCGTCGAGGAAGTCAAAGATCTTGTCACGCCATATTTCTTTTTTACTTTACATCATATTATTATCTCATATTTTTATTGCAATTCATCGTATTGTTGTCATATAATTTGATTTTATTATTGTGTGATGACATTATGATATATTTTTTACATCATAATACAACATCGGATGTTTGTGTGGCATTTGAAGTAAATTTTCTGGTCCTTGTTACTGCAACATCGGCTCTGCCTTTCAGAACAAGTTGGGACTGCCGCTCCTCAGCAATCGTAAGCTACATCACACGCCGGACGGCCGAGCGGCGAAGATCTCCGATGCGATCTCTAAGCAGTACCCGTTCGTGGACCACACATACGATGCGGTGGTGGTGGGAGCCGGTGGCGCCGGTCTTCGAGCAGCGTACGGCCTCGTTGCTGAAGGATTCAAGACCGCGGTGGTCACCAAACTGTTCCCGACGAGGTCGCACACAGTCGCCGCCCAAGGCGGCATCAACGCCGCTCTGGGCAACATGGAGGACGACAACTGGCAGTGGCACATGTACGACACCGTCAAGGGCTCGGACTGGCTAGGCGACCAGGACGCTATTCACTACATGACCCGCGAGGCACCCAAAGCTGTCATCGAGCTGGAGAACTGCGGCATGCCGTTCAGCCGAACCAACGACGGTGAGTGAAGACAGGGAAGAAGGAAGTCTACGCTCTCTACGGACTCTTTGCGCTCAAGACGAAGTAACTGTACAACCTCGAGAGGGGGGGAAAGAGAGAGAGAGAGAGAGAGAGAGAGAGGGAGAGAGAGAGAGAGAGAGAGGGAGAGAGAGAGAAAGAGAGAGGTGCGAGACAGTGTACGGAAAGTGCGCCTAGAATGATACATATTGTTGTACATAGAATATTGATGAGACCTTAAACTTTATTCGAATTCCAAGATGTGAATCTCAATATGACCGAGAATTAATTGTAAATCACGCGACTATGAATTAAAATGGCTAGCTTATATGTGGATTCTCGATGTTGCTGCTGTGTATTGGTCCGAATTCATCAACTCGTCGCGTTTAAGAGCTCAAATCCGAAACGTCCTCGCTAGTCGCGTCCGTTTCGGAGGTCATTGAATCTGTATCCGTGTAAGAATCGTCCGTCCTGCTTTTAGAACGCTTTCTCTCCTGAAATTATAGACGTGTTGATGAAGCTTAACGAAGAAGTCTGTTTCAAGAAGTTGTTTTTACTCTGAAAAAGGAATGAGAATGTAGAATGCAGAAATCTGTTTAGCGAATGTACCTGATCCTTCCTTTTCTGGTCTTTTTGATCATCGGGTTTCTTCGAAGGGTCGCTGACAACTGACTTATTTTGCCGTTCATTTTTGCCGTTTTGTTGAGTTTGTTGCTTCACTTGATTAGCCGCCTCCACGTACGGCTTCTTTTCCGCGGACGACATTCGCCGCCACTTTTGTCCCCCGAGCCGAAACAGATCTTGACTCTTCAACTTTTCATAATCCTGCAACTCAAGAGTAAAACGCTCGCGTGTGTGACTTCCGTCGTGTCATCTCTGTCACTTGTTACCTGCTTGAAATCTTGCATGAAGTTCAGATAAGCGTTCGCACTCGTCCGTTTCCTTCGGCGCGGAGGCTTGCTTCGTGATCTCGATCGCGAGCGAGATACTCTTCTTTTCCTGCGAACGAGATACGAATCTCCTCTGTCAAAGATTATCGTGTTATATATAATTTATCGTTGCATTAAGTTATCTTGTTGTATATCTCTCACTCTGATCCTTCCTTGGATCTACGATCGGATCGCGATATCGGTTGGTACTGATCGTCAGAGCTCTTTTCTTGCTCCTTTGCATCTTCTGTCACTTGGTTATTTTCTTCTCGCCTATCGCTGTCCTCCATGATTTAAGGATGATCCCAAATACACGTTCCCTATCGAAATTTTATGCGTTTCTGCATTCTCAATTATGAGTAAAAAGTTGCTGATAAAGGCGAGAATTTGCCACCGCAGGAGATATAAATTTTCGAAATCTCACGGAACAACAAATTTTGCGGTTTGGTTGCCATGCGATTGAAGGCTGTTACTTATTATCAGGCTTGAACTCGGCTCCTTTAACATATTCATTGGAGGTGTCGTTTTTAGTCATTAAATTAGTATATACTCTTGGAGTTTGAAAAGGCAGACATGCAAATGAAATTTGTTAAAAAAGAAGTGGAAAAAACTGGAAAGATAGTAGGTAGTACAGCCAATAGAAAACAAACTTTAGACTTTTTTTTAGCTAAACTAACCGTTATGATGAAACAAATATATAAATTAACGTTGATGAGAAAAGAAATAGAGCTCCATTGTAACACTATTTCAGCTAAATAGAATGGGTCCAATATTATCAGATTATATTTATAAGTCTATGAGGAACGATGGATGAAGCGCAGCCCTAATTCGTCTTTATCATTTCCAGGCAAGATCTATCAGCGTGCTTTCGGCGGTCAGTCGTTGAAGTTCGGCAAAGGCGGCCAAGCTCACAGATGTTGCTGCGTGGCCGACAGAACCGGCCACTCTCTGCTGCACACGCTCTACGGCCAGTCCCTGAGCTACGACTGCAACTATTTCGTCGAGTACTTCGGCCTGGACCTGCTGATGGAAGACGGGGAGTGCCGAGGAGTGATCGCGCTCTGTCTGGAGGACGGGACGCTCCATCGTTTCCACGCCAAGAACACAGTGCTCGCTACTGGCGGCTATGGACGCGCCTACTTCTCCTGCACGTCCGCACACACCTGCACCGGAGACGGCACCGCCATGATCTCCAGAGCCAATCTACCCAATCAGGACTTGGAGTTTGTGCAGTTTCACCCCACAGGTACTAGATCGCGCGCTGGCGTTAAAACAATATCATTATTGTATTCAGTACTCTGTAACTTTTAACGACAATGTCGTTATTGTTGCATTGTTCTTGCACAAGTGTATGACAAAAAAACATATACATAATGCAACAATAACATGAAGATAGCGACAGAGATAACGAAACTGTCGTTAACAGTTGCAGAATGGGTTTATAGAATTGTATTTGACAATTGTATTAAAAAAAAGAAATAAGAATGCACATATATAAAAGATTTGGCTGAATAATAAGATAATTTGCCAATTTAATACATTTTATATATGCATAAAATATGCACTATGTTAAATATAACTATTTAACATTATATAAGTAGATTGTAATGAGTGATTCAATTTATTATATAATGATGTTATATAGCGGTTTGTAGGTATGTATGATTGTATGGCGAACGTGTTGTATAATATTTTAGTGTGTTGCTAACCCATCATGAAGAAGTTAATATTTCGCTATTCAAACACAGTATTGGTCAGTCTACGAACTATTTCGTCTTTTGACATTGGACAAAACAAGGCCGAGGACAAACATTACGTGATACTAAAGGCAATTAGTCAACAATGCTTCAAGAGAATACACGAGCAATTCAATTGAAACCCGATACGAAGTGAAATTACATTCCCGTAGGTATCTACGGCGCCGGATGTCTGATCACGGAAGGAAGCCGCGGCGAAGGTGGCTACCTGATAAACAGCGAAGGCGAGAGGTTCATGGAGCGTTACGCGCCGGTGGCGAAGGATTTAGCATCGCGAGACGTGGTATCGCGGTCTATGACTATGGAGATTAGGGAGGGCAGGTGAGTCATCAGTCGGTTTCGGGTTCCTTGCAGCTGTAGTAATATATACAAGATAAATATAATTCCTTTCTTTGCTTAGAGGCGTTGGACCGGAGAAGGATCACATCTACTTGCAGCTACACCACCTGCCGCCTGAGCAACTGGCCGCCCGGCTGCCAGGAATCTCAGAGACAGCGATGATCTTTGCGGGTGTCGACGTGACCCGGGAGCCCATTCCCGTTTTGCCCACCGTCCATTACAATATGGGTACGAAAGTCATCCTTCACTTGTGGAAAGTAACGAGTTCCTCCCTTCGCGTTGCGTATTTATGCGACGATTTCATAGAATTATGTAACGTCTCGACATACTTCACAATGGCATCATTATTGGAGTCATTGCGATTCAGTTCCTTTCTAGAAGCGCGGGAGAAATCTCGTGAAACAGAATATAAAATGTTTTTTTGGGGGATGGATAAAAATAATTTCGCGTCGACAATTTGATTTTTATATTTTACATGATTTGGAGATATGAGAAAAATTAGGCCATTTTAAAAATTAACGTCATTTTTAACAATATAACGACGATGAAGATAATAATAATATATTATTGAACATCTAGTTTACAATTGATAGGTTGATAACTATGACGACAGCTTATAACTAATATCGTAATTTCTTTGACTCAACAAATTGATTTATTTATAATTAAAGATTAATATTAATTTTTGTCAATCCGTATAATGAAAAATAATTTTAATAACGTGATATCTAAATTTACAGGTGGCGTACCGACGAACTACAAAGGTCAAGTATTGACCAAGCAAAATAATCAGGACAAAGTAGTGCCCGGATTGTACGCGTGCGGTGAAGCAGCCTGCGCGTCCGTTCACGGCGCTAATCGACTGGGCGCCAACTCTTTGTTGGATTTGGTCGTCTTTGGACGCGCTTGCGCTAAAACTATTGCCCAAGAGAACAAGCCCGGCGAGGCAATCGGACCTCTGAGCTCTGTGAGTACATGCTATAATTTTAGATATTATTTTTTCAAAAACACGTTTATTCTTTATTCTTGACCAATACGAATTATGTATTTAGAACGCTGGCGAGGAAACGGTAGCTAATTTAGATTGGGCGAGAAATGCTAAAGGCTCTATATCTACCGCGGAGCTGCGGCTGACCATGCAGAAAACTATGCAGACGCACGCAGCAGTCTTCAGAATGGCCGAGACTCTACAAGAAGGTGAGACATCACCTTCAGTTCCGTAAAATGATACGTTTCATTAAAAAAAAAACCACTTAATGTTAGTTTCTCACAATTTGTTTCATAGGTTGTCGAAAAATGACCGATCTCTACAAGAAGCTCGACGAACTGAAGGTTGCAGACAGGTCTCTGATATGGAACTCTGATCTGATAGAGACGCTGGAACTGCAAAATCTCATGATCAACGCGATGCAAACGATCGTCGGGGCAGAGCAGAGGAAAGAAAGCCGCGGCGCTCACGCCCGTGAAGATTTCAAGCAAAGAATTGACGAGTACGACTATAGCAAACCGCTCGAGAACCAGCAGCCGATACCGCTTGATCAACATTGGAGGAAACATACGTTGTCGAAGATCAATCCAAGGACAGGAGAGGTATTTTCTTCTCTCTTTTGATATTTTTCTTCTACATTTTCCTCATTTTAGGTCATATTTTCTCCTATATTTCCCTTTTATATCTTCTTATCATATATAAATTAAAAAGATTCCCGCAAGTCAGCTGATTTCACTAACGGAGTCACCATTTTCTCAGGTATCTCTCGACTACAGACCAGTAATCGACGTTACGCTCGACCAGCAGGAATGCGCAACGGTTCCGCCAGCGATTCGTTCCTACTAGATTAATTCCAAATGGACAATCGATCGATCCATCATCCTAGGATTCTCATTTTGCCGGCAAATTTCGGTCGCGCGACCGTCCCGCGATCGTAAGCCTAATGATCACCGATGTATTGCAACGGAATCATCGTCGTCGTCGTCGTCAATCGACAATGACGACGATCTTCGTACTGCTGTTACTTACTGCTACGTAACAAAACTTAATTTATTTTACATACATATACACACACATACATACGCATATACAAAACAAAAAAACACGTACACACACACACACACACAAACTTCATCGTGCACCAAAGTTAATTCTTGTCATCGCTTGCGCGCGAATCGCGAGCAGAATTAGTGATCCTCGTAGGATACCGGTGCCGAAGTTATCTTTTCGTGGTCACCTCGCGCAGAGGTGATTACGCACGATCCTCACTCAGCGGATCGATGCTCAGCTGCGTGAAATAATAGTCGAAACTAGAACGCACTGTGGCGACGGAGGGTGGAGCTTCAGATATGCGTGGACCTTTCAGGGATAGATGTTTTTATAACGTAAAGCAACCGTGTCTGGTGACACCGCGTCTCTCCCACAGCGCTCAAATTTTCGACGCATGACGCGTCGTACATACCGTCGCGTGAAACAATACGCTCGGCGATAACGAAGCCGTGGAGTTAATCGAAGGACATCGTTCTGTTGGAATCACAAAACAAGTATAGGTCTTTCCAAAGACTTTAGGACCTCGATCGCAGAGACAGAGTTTCTGAATGAACCCATTGGTCTTTAAATGTGTTTCGTTTCATGATAAACGCACGTAATAAAATTATTTTTCTTTTCGATTGATATTTGTTCGTATTCTTAATTATATTTGTAAGTAAAACTTATATTTCACACTGTTTTTGCACGCAACGGTAGCCTTCGACTGTACTGCTGTAGTTTGATACGATTTTGTTATTTAGCGTTTATCGCTGATACTTATATAATACCACCGCGTTTTTTACCACCGCGGAAAATGCGCGGAACGGTGGAAAAGGTTTATTTTTTAGATGCTCCAATATATTTTCTTGCAGTCTGCGAATGGGTTGACGCAAGAAAAGAAAACCTGAGTCATGTAGCTTCGTCTTGTAGCATCGAAGGACGTTGCATCAATGGAAATGAACATCTCTCATCGGTCGGTCTCTCATGCTTCATTTTTCGAGAGTGAGTCATTGGATCATCTATAAATGTCATTTACGTGCAAACGCGATTATATGGGCATACACTCTTTAAAAAATTGCGGAGCGGTATGTTAATTTCGTTGCGGCCGAATACTTAGATATCTTATCAGACGACAACACGGAAACAGTATCAAGTAATTCTGATGTTGAGTACATATTTTTATAGACATATTTATATTAAATATATACACATGTAATAAGTTACACATTAAAAAAGATTAACTTATTAATTTGTTATAATATATATCTCGGAAAAATAATTATGTATTCCAAGATATAAAAATCACTGTTTTGGGTGATGATTTTATTCATACAAAATTTGAGTTTAACCAATTGAAACTGTTCCCATATGTGTTGGTCTTGCAGCGTCTCACTGATGTATTATGTGCTCTATAGAAAGTGAATTTAAGTAAAACGTTATACTCTCCTTAGAAACATGGCACAGAGATACGAAATACTGTAGTCTCAGTCTGTAAAAGTCGTGTGAACGTGCTGTTTGGCATGGTAAAAATGTACATAAATCGCGAAGAGTTATCGATAATAAAGCATTGATTACACATTTTATACGTGGATTTAGATACACTGGAGCTCGTTGAGAAACCGAGTCGATAATGAATTACGAGATAAGAAACTCGAATTACAAAGTTTTTATTATCGTACAAAAGAGATCAATGAGATGAGCAAAAATTATCTTGCGGCGAAAAAGTATCTTGAGGGGGGAGGAAGGAACCGACAAAAATAACAAGTCGCACGATGTGAATTTTCACAGATATTTATTAAACCCATACTAGAGTGGTATTCGTCATAAATAAGAAGTTCGCGGATTAAATAAAAACTGCTACCGAGGACGATTTTCTAAAGCATTAAACTAAAGCTCCTCTCGCTTGTGAGCTAATACTTCAGAAAATTCTTTACACGTTACGGCTTCTTTTAATTTAATCGATGAGGATGCGTCTCGAGATGAGCATGTACTCGCACTCGCAAATAACATAGTGTACACAATATATATATATATTTATACGCTGCCGAGGAAAGTCGGTACAAACGTTCGAAAACGTCCGCGACGCAACGCGGCGCCTACTTACATTCTCGCCAAGAAAAGCTTCGGCACGGGATTTCTTACAAAAACGATACAAATCCGAGAGAGTTGGCACGACGTTTAAATGCTTTCCAGGACGACTCGACGCGAAAGATCCCGCGAGCGTGACATCGATTTCCAATCGCGAGAGGCGCCAGCCTGTGCCAGGCTAATCGCGTTGTAAGAAAGAAGCTGTCAATCTATATTGAAAACCGTCGAAATAATCTGTGAAATAATATCATCATACGAAGCGTTATCGGCGAAGCTACACATCGACTTGAACAGTCTGAGATCTTTTTTTAAAAGATGAGATTTTCCGGAAAATTTTCTTGATACTCGCGATCTTTCTCGCGTCGAGTCTTCGATCGTTGAACTGCGCGAGGTATTCGAACGCACTCGCGGGCGGAACTTCTTCCGCAAGAAGAAGCTCCGCCGGGAAAGCGGACGATTTCAGCGAGCAAGACGTATCGTTTTTCTTTGCTTGTTTTCTTTTTCGCACTTATAGAAATGCTATGAATACGATCGGATCTCGTTTCGAACTTTCATAGGCCCAAGGAAACGCGCGAAGATTTTGCTCGAATTACAAATTGGATACGACACGAGTTGATAACTTTTTACTCTTCTTCCGATTTTAAGGCATGCAAAAATGACTACAAGAACTAAATTTCCCAACGACATAACTTAATCACGTCAAAATAAGGGTAAGATCCCTTGGAATTCGCAACATACCGATTGCCTATCGATCCTTAGGACTATGACGGTTAAACCACGTTATACAATTATTAAACATCAAATTCTCGCTAGGGGAGACAACTTGAACTAATTCCTTGTTTTTTTTTCGTTCTCTCTCTCTCTCTCTCTCTCTCTCTCTCTCTCTCTCTCTCTCTCTCTCTCTCTCTCTCTCTCTCTGTCTCTGTCTCTGTCTCTGTCTCTGTCTCTGTCTCTGTCTCTCTCTCTCTCTCTCTCTCTCTCTCTCTCTCTCTCTCTCTCTCTCTCTCTCTCTCTCTCTCTCTCTCTCTCTCTCTCTCTCTCTCTCTCTCTCTCTCTCTCTCTCTCTCTCATCGTATACATTCGCAAAGCTCGGGATCGTCTCTCGTCGGTGATATAGCGACGATCTAAAGTGAGATACCAAATTACAGTTCATCCTATATAGCATCGATACGTCGTGCTCTTTTGCGCGAAAACCGCTCGTCGGCTTTGCGCACATTAGATCGCTTCAAGTCGCGATTAATTTCTCGCCTAGTAATTATCCTAGTAAAATTCGCATAATGCAAACGCACTCCTTTCGCGACAAGAGAGGCCGAAGATTTGTAACTTGCGTTACGTAAAAAAGTAAAATGAAAGTCCCGGCTCGTCAGGATATATTATTACGTGTAGGAACGATCAAAAGTCTCTAAAAGCTACCGTCCATCGAGCTCGCTCGAGTCGCGCGAGCGACGAATATATCTTCGGGGGAGGGGGGAGGGGGAAATAATGAAGAGAAACATAAAAGGGAAAATGCAGAGTACTGAACGATTTCCGTCTGTGTAAAAAATCGTCAAGGTATATTCGCAACGAGTCTTCGATGAGTATAGCGCGGTGGAGTGTTCGCAAAATTACACCGCAATTAAGCGAGCGAGCGAATCACGGTCGCTCGGAGAGTGCTACACGCTCAAGTCCGGAAATTAAAAACTGTCTCGCGAACAACGATGAAAATTGCGCTAACTGTTCGCGTGACCTCTCGAACGTTATTTATATATACAGCAAGCCGGATAAATGCGAGACGCACCCAGACGGAATTATTCGAGTGTGTCCCGTACATACACGGTTCCACGCCTAGCCGACTTCTCATCAACGCTACACGTACACACGCGCCAACGTGTCTCTTTCGTTCGCCGTTGAACTGTTTAGAACTCGGTTTAGAATCTACAATTCTAAAGGACAGAGTCTCGAACCTCTATTCAGACGCCGTCTGCGTGTATTCGCGAGTGAAAAGGCTCCTCAACTTTTTTTTAGAGACGGTTTGGTGAATTGAAAAGTATCTCGCGATCTCAGCGTCGTGCAGAAGAAGCTGTCTCTCAAAGGAAACAGTAGCCTTTTTTCCCGATCTAACAGATGTGCGATAATATAATGGTGCGTGTCTGAAGAAAGAAGATTACGCGGCGACGAAAGAGGGACAGCTGGTGGTGGGGCTCCAGCCAAGGAATCATCGACGATCAAGGGACCGCCGAAGGAAGATTCGGCGATCGATCCAGGTGGCCTTGCTTGTGATTTTCAACCCGGGCAGCGAATGAAGAAAGTTCAGATCGCAAGCTCCATTCGAGAATCGGATGGCACGGTGGTAGTAATCTCTTCGCTCTGGTGGTCCGCGCGACGCTTTCAATCAGTTCGCAGCGACGTAGAAGTCAGCTCTGCCGTGCAGCATTGTGCTTTCGCCGGGAAGGCGATGACGACGATGACGACGACGACAACAACGACGACGACGGTGGTCTCCGATGCCGAGAAACTAAACCGGGTCCGGTTTTGTATCTTCGGGAGAGAGGGAGAAAGAGAGAGAGAGAACAGTCACGGGAGCTGGAGTTCTTTTTGCTTTGTTCCCGCTCGTCTCTCTCTCTCTCTCTCTCTCTCTCTCTCTCTTTCTTTCTCTCGTCAGCCGCCCTCTCCTCAGGAACATAATCCATATCACGCACGATCTGCATTCACACGTTCTCGCTTTCTCTCTCTCTCTCTCTCTCTCTCTCTCTCTCTCTCTCTCTCTCTCTCTCTCTCTCTCTCTCTTTCTCTCTCTCTCTGTTCCTCTCACACGCGATGATGGTGGGTGACGCTAGATGGAGTGATGGATTAAGTCTTGTGCATTGTGTCGGTGGCTTGGGGGCCGGCCGTCGACGACGCCGTTCACGAGGTAGCTCGCAATTTCTCCAACGCGGGCACGAGCGATTCCTCCAACGAGGGTCCGCAGCTCAGGCCGCACTCACCGATCCATCTCGCCTTGCCGCTTGCATGCGACTGTAACACACGGGGAAAAAGCCACGGTGAAAGACTCGCCCGATTTCGCCTGCGCACAATTACTCTCACGCTCCGAAATTTCCTCCATAGGATCACGTCATCACGATATAATCTCGATGATCACCTGATGTGACAGAAACACACGTTTCAGCAGCAAAATTGTTAATTATACGCGCCGACATATAATACTGCTATCAACCGCTTTGTAACCAATGCGGCGCTACACCGCTCTGCTCTCTCAGCCCTCGATCGATCGCTCGGGCTCTCGCGACGACCCTCGCGACGAATATTCCGCAAGTGTTCCCGTTAATTCCTCAATTTCCATAAATAAATTCTCAATTCCGCTTTCAACGATCGTAACGAGCGGAGTAAAGGCACACGCTGCGGATTCTCCCCGCTCCTCGCGACTCGCCGCCCGCCGCGCAAGATCGACCGAAATCCAATTTATTTCGCACGACGATAAAGCGAGTGTGTAAATAATATATTATTTAATCGATGACTTAATGAGAGCGAGAGAAGGTCGAGAAACGCGCGCGGCTCGCCGCTACGGCGGCAAGCTGCTACGGCTGCTACGATCGGAGGTTAACGTCTCGGCCCGATCTCGAGCGTTTTATCCGTTCACAGGGGTCAGGGCGGACATTTACCATGGTGAGGTCGCGCTTCCACGCGGTGTGGCAGCGACCGTCGCAGAGCGGACACGGCCGTTGCAGGGAATAGCCGCCGCACTCGCTGCAGTCCAAAGAGACATGCTCCTCGCTCCACGACACTCCGCATCTGCGTGAAAGAAACAAAACAATAATATAGTAACAAAGCAACAAACAAACAATATAGTAAATGATCGTCGCGAATTTATTTCGCGCGCGCGCGCGCGTTATGCCAGCTGCGACTCGGCCAGGCGGGAAACGCGGAAGCCGCCTGACACAACACTCGCGTAAAAAGCGCCGACGAGAACGCAGTTTTCTCGAGGAAAGCTTCCCCGGTCTGTTTGCGACGTCGCCTTGCGCACTTATTACGACTTCGCGCGAGATCGTATCGTTGCAATAATCAGCGAGTATTTATAAAACAACGTTCTCCCCAGGTATAGAACAGAAAATCACGATGACATCAAAATGATGAGGAAAACTCTTTCTCTCATCATCATCATGATTCAGTCATTTTCTTGTCATTTTGATGTCATCATGATTTTTTATTCTACTTGCGTTTAGGAGCATACACAGTGATTCCCGAGACTGGAATCATGGCACGGTGAGACGTAACGAGACCCGGCGGACGACAACAGGAAGAGCGAAGAGATGATCCCCTGTTCGCTGGAAATATTGTCTCGCGCAGCTCAGAGCTCTTGAACTATTGAACTTAATTTCTCCACGTTGCATACGTTATCCGACTGATTCATAATCGCGATGATCCACGCGATACGACAAACGTGCGTCGCGAAATGTTCGCTCAAGGCTGCGCGCCTTCTTGCGTACCGAATGTAGGGCATCGATTTAACCGCGTCAAACGCCGCCAGATAAACACTGGATATGCCTGCTAGCCTTATTTCAGCATCCCATGTATATCGATAAGGCGTTTCTAACGGCGAGCGAATTAACATCGCCGCGTGAGGACGATTCGCGCTGGCTCGCTGGCTCGCTCGCTCGCTCGTCGACCTCGAGACAGCGCGGGGGGGAAAAAGATCGTCCTCTCCCGAACGCTCCGCATTTTGCACTTGGTAAAACGACCGAGTCAATGCCTACTTCGAAGGTGTTATCTGTCGCGCGCGCGCGCGCGTGCGACGGAGGAAAAAAATCAGACGCGCTCGATGATGCGTCATCGTCGAGCGGCGGAGGATCGTATCGTGTCGCCGGCGCGCGTACTCTGGATCGCACCGGATTCCATTGAGCAGACTACGTCTGTGCCCGTCTCTCTCTCTCTCTCTCTCTCTCTCTCTCTCTCTCTCTCTCTCTCTCTCTCTCTCTCTCTCTCGTTGTGTAATCCGCAATTAATTCCCACGCTCCGTCGTAGGATTCCGCGTCGCCGTTCGCGCGCCGCGTCGCAGCTGCGAGACACGATTTATATCCGAAGCACTTGCTGCTCCCCGACATTCGATTACGCTCGTAACGCTCAATCAACTCGAATCTCCGTCCACCGTTGGAGAAGCAAAGCGAACGGACAGTAGGGAGCTGTCGCTTCTGAAGAAGCGAATTCCTTTGCTCCTCCGCGCGGCTGCCGCAAGTACGTTGAGAAGCATTAAACGGATAAATAGGCGAGAAAGCAGCCGTGGAAGCCGAGGAGAGAGCGCGACAGACGAACGAGCGACGGACGTTGCTTCTCCTCGAACGGATCGGTCGATTGAGAGGTCATCAAGTGCGAGAACTTACGTGAAGCAGGAGTTCAGCTGAGCCCGCAGCTCCTCTATCGTCACGATCGTGTCCTGATACTGAGGATGCGAGCCTTGGAGGCCATCGTCCACGCTCCCGCACAGGCTGTGGCACAAGGAGATGTTACTCCTGCAAACCGACAGAACACGATCCATATAAGAGCCACGCGTTTCTCGTAATCGAGATCTCGTTTCTCCTCTGAAACTTGCCCCTTTTTATCACTTGTCACCGCGCGAACTCATTATATGCCGTCATGTCAGCAGTTTTTCTTTCTCTCTTTCCGGCAAATCTTTATTCGAGGTAAACGAAGCGCACGACGCATAAGCGACGAGGAAAGAAATCGAGCCGAACGGTTTTGCAATCGGGAGCGCCTCTGCTTCTATTTTCGAGCTATGCGCACAAGGAAACCTAGGGAACGCGGAAATTCAAAAGATTGTGAAACTTGTGCGGAAGTAAAGTAGTTCATGCGTAATGCAAGACTATTTTTTGTTCGTGCGGAATTCCAGTCTGAAGGGGTGAAGCCACCTTTCGAGGGAAAAAAAGCCATTTTCATTTCTAGCGTTTCTAGCATCTCAGATTTTGCAAAATTGGAGGAGGGCGGAGGAGGTTTCGAAAATTTTTCAATTTTGCAAAATCTGAATACACAGTTGCAAAGAGTATGAAATACACTACAACTTTCATATAAACCATTTTTGCACACATCTCGTATTTTGAAAGATATATATATATATATATATTTTTTTTTTCGAAGGGTGGTTTTACCCCCTCAGACCGGAACAATTTCGCACGAACAAAAAATAGTTTTGCATTACGGACGAACTATTTACTTTACTTCCGCACAGTTTTAGAATTTTTTGAATTTCCACGTTTCCTGGGTTTCCTTGTTAAACCTCCATTTCGTTCAGACCTCTTCGCGCTGACAAAACATCGCGCAGTCGGGCCTCTCGCGAGAGACGAGTTCTAGAAAAGATCGACCTCTCGCTAACCCCGCGGCGCGAGCGGGGTTCCATTCACGATAGGTTTTCGGTCTTTATGAGAGACGATCCGTCAAGCTCGTAGCCGGGATACGGTACACGGTTGGTGCACGAGTAAACTGCCTTGAACCTGCCTGCCGAAGAAAGAGGCCTCGGCGGTGACGGTGTGTGTGTGTGTGTGTGTGTGTGTGTGTGTGTGTGTGTGTGTGTGTGTAGCGGTCTCTGTGTGTATTTGTGTATGTCGGTGTTGGACGGATTAACTCGAATGAGTATGCGCATATGGTAATCAGGAAGAAAAACGTCAGACCTCCATGTGGCGGCGACGTGAACGCACGCGTAATGAGCCGCTCGTCCTGTCGCTCTGCGCGCGCGCGCGCGCGCATGTGTGTGTGTTTTTTTTTCATGCTGCGTCTGTGTGTTTCACGAGCGTGAACACGGCGACATGCATTTACGAGGGAACAAAGATCGCACCGACGGGCGTTCTTGAATGACCGTAATCGCAAGACGCGATCGACTATCCCCTCGCTACAGTCATCGTTCTTATTTCTTTTCTTCTTTATTTCCGTTACGTAAACGCACGACGACGTGGTGGGTCTCGGCGGATAATCTTCACGAGGCCGGGGAGTCGACTCCCAGAAATCTCCCGCTCAGGTAGAAGTTTCCCGAATCTCCGGCTGCGTTTCTTGTCGCGCGCTCGAGATTGGGGAACTGCAAACTTGCATGAGACTCGATTGAACCTCGCGATACGGGACGGAGGAAAAAAAGAAAGAAAGAAAGAAATCGCGGGAACGAGTTTTTAGCGGGGCCTTCTCGCGATAAAACCGATAGAAAATAATCGCTCGTCTGAACGCAGTCTTGTGCGAAAATTAAGAGATGCTCCAGATTTCCGAGCGAATTAGTGTGCGAGTCGAGGAGACGTCGCGTCGACGATTCCGATCGAGTCGCGGGCGTATTTTCCCGCGAGATCCTTCAGCCGATCCTGCGGACATCGCAACTCGACGACGCCAAGACGCCTCTCAGCGTCCCTTAATTGGCGTTTCCGGCTAGGCCGCGCACACGCGATGTGTTAGCTACGTAGGAAGTTAAGTTATGCGCACTTGGAAACGGGAAACGGGAAACGGCGCAATCGTGGGCCCGATTAAAGCGCAAACTGCAAGACCGCCTGCACCTTCCCTCCCCCCCTCCCGTCTCTCCTTCTTTTCGCGTCTTCTCTCCGCCGCGCTCGAGATCGCATCGTTCTCCTCTAGCGCTAATTAGCCGCAACGACGTTATCAAGAGCGCGATGCGATTGCGCAACGATTGCCGTAACGAATCGCAATCGTACCTCCGCGCGAGTCGGACAAAAAGACGAATATCAAGATCGCGAGGGTCGCGATTGCTTCGACGAGACGGAAAATTCGCGGCTTCATGAACGACGCGGCATACGCATTGATTTCGCCGCGGCGGGAAAAACGTTCCAGACGCGTCCAACGTTTGTCATTTAAGGCGGGGGGGGAGAAGGAGAGGGGGAATTACATGCGAAGCTGGCCTATTCAAGCCTTTCAAGGCTATTTTTACGAATTCTTTTAATCGAAACGGTAGGACCGACGGACTTGAAATTTTCACAATATATTCTCTCTCATTAATGTTCAAAGTATAAAATAAATTTTATTCAGTCACAAGAACCAATTCATCAATTTCCAATTATAGATAAAAATGCAGTCATCCGTGATTCCGCATGTGATTCCCGCCTTTTAATCCTTGCGATCCGCGAAGCAGCCGCTGTGCAGCGGGTCTCATGTTTCTCAGGAATCTACCCTTTGCGTACGAGAAAGATGATTCTCATCCAAAGAGCGCAAAAGTCGTCCAAAAGACCCGCCCGGATTTAAGGAATTATTAAAAGTCGCGCGCGTTTGGATCTTCCATTTTCCTTGTTTTTCCTTCGCGAAAGGATCGGACGCAGGATCTTTACTCACCCGTGGCGGGAAAGGCTCTCCGTAGTGGGCTGCACAGAGGTGACCGACATGTTGAGCTGATTGAATCGGACTTGACTCGATTGACTGATGACTTCTGCAACACAGAAGCGAGAGAAACTTTTGTAACCACGTGGATCGTTTCGAAGGCGAAATATTTCAAGGATAGTCTTCCTTCCGTCACCTGCTGTCTCCCTCTTTCTCAACGGTCGAGAGATCGAGCAGCAAGTGGGAGACGGAAAAACGGAAAAGCCGCGCGTGAATAAAACCGATGAACAATCGGGCGCGTTCGACGCGCACTCTCGGTTGTTACAATTATAGACGCGATCGGGATAAATATAAAACGACTTTTTACATATCAGCTGAACAAAGAATCCCGAGGATGCCCCGTCGCGCACGAACGCATACGAACGCGAGAAATGTTACTGATAAACAACAGCGCGCCGCGGGAAATCCCCCGGACAAGCCGATAACGCCGATAATGATCTTGACGTGTTGACGTCGAAGCTATCGCAGTCATGCATAGTTAAGAGGAGAAGGAAAAGAGGTTCCTCTCGGGCGCGCGCAGGAAATCACCTCGGACGATTTCATCGGAATCTGCCTCATATCTTAAAAGCCAAGGTTTCTCGGCGATTAACATTCAACGTCGTAGCTTTCGTCGCGTTCCAAGGTTCCGTCGCGCCGCACTCTCCTAAGCGAGAGCAGGCATTCTTTCCGTCAAATTTCACGTCACCGCTCTCATCGAGTGGACACGTCGACGCTGCGTCACGAGTGATCATCATCATCATCATCATCGTTGAGCACCTCGCCGTGGTCGAGTGTTCCATTGACGAAAGCAAAGATTAATGAGACATCGACGGAAGTAGGAAGAACGGGAGAAATTCATCGGCGATCATTTCCCGCGAAACGTCACTCCTCTCGAGCGCGTCAAACGATCAGTCACGGTTTTCCCTCGGCTTCAAGTCCGCTTCGAAATCCGCGCGTGCGCGCGCGCACGCGGATATGTATTGCTAATAGAAATTATAGTGCTATGTAACGGGCTGATATTACGAGATTAGCGCACAGGAGCACGTTCGATGATTTATTAGAGCGGCGCACGTATCGCGCGCGCGCGCGCGCGCGCGTCGACGGCGAGCGAAGGACAGGCACGAGAGCGGATTTCACCACGATCTCACCTTGGCACGAAACCCGCGCTCGCGCTTTTGCTTTCTATGAGAAAGCATATCGACAGAGGCCCACACACACACGTACGCACGCACGCACGCACGCACGCATATACATGTACGTGTTCTGTGTCCGCGATATCGATAAAGACTTGCGATTTCCGTCACACGTTACGCAACCGCGAAAGGCGAGCGAGCGACTCGCGCTCGCCTATTCGCTCGCTCGCTCGCAGAAATCGCTCCTGCCAATTTTCCGACTGGCTGAAATCCAGGCGGAAGGCGAGAAGAAACTCACACCATCCTTTTGAAAGCGCGATCGGACGTGAGAGGATAATGTGTCTCTCGCGGCGCTCGTGTTTCCTGCTCTCTTTTTCTGTTCCGCCGTTAATTCCGCGTGATTATATGCACAAAATGAGGCAATAATTTTATTGCCAGCTCGCGCACATGCTGTTTGGAAAAAACAGAGGTGACCTCCGAAGCTACCCCAGCTGGGCAAAAATATATTGTCGCGACAAGATGATTGCTTCTGTACGGTGTGTAATTTTTTAGACAAGTGTTTCCGTTGCTCTCATATTCTCCGAAGACATTCGATGTGATACAAAATTACCGCCTCACACTATTAGATTGATAATTGAAAATCTCTCTCCGGAAATTAAACGTCCCCTTTGTCTCGGCATATTTCTGTTTGAGAGATGCCTTGCTCGGTGTCTGCGAAGAAAAGTTTTTAATCAACCTCGTAAGATGCAAAAGTATCAATCGCGATCGATAAATTGCCCGGAAGCTTCTTGCAAAATCTCTTGCGAATCTCGCCGGACGAAACGAAGAATGCCAAGGATTCTCTAACCGGAATTCGACAGCGAATGTTGTAGCAAACGACAACAAGACACAAAGCATAACAAACGACATCGATAAGGAATTCCTCCGGCATACCGCGATGCATATTGCAAACAAATATTCACGTGCCGTCGCGCGAGAGCCATGTCGCAAATTCGCTTTGCAAATCATTAAACGTAATTATCCGTACGTCTTTTCGCGCATCGGGAAGAAGCACGAACGTCGATGAAAGTCGTGCAAGGGTACAGGCGTGCCGCCGACGCGACGCGACGCGACGCGACGCATCGATCGATCGATCGGCCTTTGAGCAAAAGGTCGTCAAGATCGAATGAAATATGCAGCGAGTTTTCAAGAGAGCTCCTCTTTCGGCGCCGCGGGGAGTGACACGCCGTGTCTGCGCGCGAATGCGCGTCATTTTCGGCGAGCTTCCGCGAGCGGAATATGATTCAGCCGGTGAGAATCTCGCTGATCCCGATCGCTCGCAGATACGACACAACTGTCGAGCCGCGCTTGGCTCTCGGATAACGTTTCAAGCACATCCACAACGACACATCGCGGGGATCGATATATCGTCGTCCTCGTCGTCGTCGTCGTCGTCGTCATCGTCGTCGTTGCGTGTGCTACTACGTCGCGCGTCCGCGCGAGCGAGCCGATCGATGAATTTGCATTTATTAACCCTCCCCGCGTTACGTAGAATCGCGCGTGCGTCGCAACTCTGTGTGTCGTGTTAGCCGCGTTACAACGTAATCACTGATAAAACCCACCATCGGCGGTCGTGGGCGTTCGGCCAAGCGAATTCCCGGCATTCCTCGGGACGTAGTAATCGATATATCGGTCGCGCCGAGCGCGCGAGAATGCAAACCGACCCGAGTCCGTCGGGTCGGTTTAATAATAGTAATCTCGACGGAAGTGGATTAAACGACCGGAGCTGAAACGACGGCGACGGCGACGACGACGGCGGCGATAACGCGCGCGCGCGCGGCGGTGAAAAGGATCACGCGAGAATCGCGCGCGCGCGAGGCAGCTTTGATAAAAATTTATCGTGCGGCTTGAGGCGCACGCTTGTACCGCGTGTTGCGAAAGTGTAAACGCACGCGCGCGCTGACTTTTCTCCACGCTTTTTCCTGGTAGAGCGAAATAATTCGTGATATCGCCGACAAGTTTTCGAAAAAGCTTATCATCCAGCAGATATCGGTCGAACATTGCTTGTTTCCAGCTGTATTATTTGTCGGAAAGCTTTTCCGCATTGTCGCGCAATTCTCTTTTTTCTTTCTTTTAATAACTCTCTTCCTCTCCTCTCTTTCAAGTCGCTCCGCGCGCGTCGCGCGCGCGTCGCATACGCGCTTACGCGTGCGACCCCTTTTACGCGCGATCGCGCAGTTATCGTCGCCGACCTCGAGCAATTATTGCCGTTTTGCTCGTCGCACGGACGGGCGAGCACGTAATCGCGGTGTCCTGGAAAAAAGAAATAATTTGCGTGTCCGTCGCGCGCGCGCGAGAATGTCGCATTTTGCATTAATCACGAGCCAGAGCGGAACGATTGTCATCACAGATCTGTCGTAAGCGCGCGTGGACTATCCGTAAATAAAAGATTTAAAGGATTTGTACAACTTGTGTAGAATTGATTCGTCGTTTATACGACGTTTATTCAAATTAATCGCGGCCAAGTGGCGCACACTCTGCGCGACCGTCGACGGAGCGGAGAGAGCGCGCGTTCGCGGCAAATCGGGAACTGGCTCATCATCCGGCTCGTTCCGCTGCATGACGTTTTTGGCGGCCGATGCCGGCTCGTTGTACACGAGTTGCGACAAAGTAACGCTATACGCTGCAACTCGGTCGCGACGCAGCGCCAAGCTGAGCCGAGCCGGGCCGAGCTGAGCCTCTCATGATGACGATGAGTCAGTGGGATAAATTGCGAAGGTAACATCATTTCTCGAGAAACGCGGCGCCAAGATCTCGCGCGCGACAGAGAATTCTCTCTCTCTCTCTCTCTCTCTCTCTCTCTCTCTCTCTCTCTCTTTGCTTCTAAGTACATATGGTATGCGTGTGTATTAACTCTTCTTGAGAAGCGAACACAATACTCCTGACGCATCTTGCATAAGCGCAAACTCCATCTCTCGCAAATGGCGGCCTCGCTTCACGCGGAATTTATATCGGACTTACGATAGTTACGAAAGCGGGCAGATTCATCGTCGTCGTCGTCGATTTATCCGCCTGGAAGTTCGCCGATTACCACCGTCGGCGGGAGAACAGAGGGAGGAGGCAGACCGGAGCGAGAAGGGACGAAAAATCGGTCCTAGTTTCTCGTATTTCAACGGGGCGATCGCGTGAAAAAAAAACGGCAGGAGAGAGAGAGAGAGAAAGAGAGAAACGCGGGATGAAAGCGGACCCCAGATGGAAGGACACCGAGGAGGATAAAACGCGAGTGATCCTCGCGACCGTTGGCACACGTCGCGGGGTGTTAGTAACACTAGCGCAAAAATAGAACTATGGTCCGCAAACTATAGGCCGGACGCTATAAATAACCGGATTATTCGAACGGCGCGCGCGAGCGAGCGAACGGAGAACGTTCGCTTACACGGTCGCGCGTACAAATGTGCGAGTATACGTGCGTAAGTACGTACATGCGTGTGTGTGTGTATGTAGCACAACATATGCTCCGGGCGGATTCTTTCCAGTCGCGATCTATTCCAAGAGAACAGAGGGTAATCCCGTAAGCGGATCGGTTTATCTCCGGACACAGCTCGGTCGCTCCTCCGGCGAACGTCTGACGAACGCTTCGCGTTCGGCGATTTTGCACGCCGCGCCGACGATAGATTGCATTCCTCCCGCGACAAGTGCATCGGGAACGCGGCTCCGAACGGAAAACTTTGTTCCCGTTGTACGTGCGTGTGTGTGTGTGTGTGTGTGAACGTAACACGCTCGTTACTGGCGACTTGACTTTAAACTTCCGGCTTTCGTTCGTTACTTTCGAGGGATGCGCCGTTGGGAATCAAATTCGTCCGAGTTCCGGTTCCGATGCGCTGCGCTGCGACTATAAATCGCTCCCTTCCTCCCCTCTCTCTCTCTCTCTCTTTATCCGTTGCGACGCCGCGCGTGA